GTGGACTCCCCAACATGATAATAACAGCCCTGGCTTATTGAGTTTCAATTACTGCCGTTTCCACGACAGCTTTCGGACCTGCCCTAACAATCACCCCTGCTTAGTGGGGAAAACCGTGTAGGGATGGTTGCGTGACTCACGAACAATGAGAATAAAAGGTTTCAATAAATAACAGAAAACCTATAGAACCATAAACTAAATAAACTCATCATTAACATACATCCCTCATCAATTTATTCATGTTTTATAGTACATTAAGGTTTATATCTTGGTACCTGTATTAATGATCATTTATATAATATTTTCTTACCTTAGTGATTACCATGGGTTTTCCTTTTTTCCACATAAAGTTTCACACGTTGTACCACAGAGATTTTTATCATATCTTAACCTAATTACCTGACCAAATAGCCAACGAGCAATTGGGCAACGATTCGGGACAGGATAGTCGTCTGCCAGTGTCAAAACGCTAAAGTGCCGGGCAAACCTGTCACGTATGGTGTGTAATCACGCACACACCTCTGGCCAGGTTGTTGTAGATGCCTTTTACATATCTGATATCCCGCGGAACAGAGAGCTTGGCCGCTTGGCCGGTGGTGTGCCTGCCTGCCTGCCCATTCATTGCCATGTTTGCCCACGTCGTCGCCAGTCGTAAAATGCAAATTGCATGCAATCAACGCGTTTTTCGTTTAATTATTATGAGAATTTTGTGTTGCTGTTTTATTTTTTTTTTTTCTCAGTTTTTCGCTGGCACGGAACGTGCCAAGTGCCATTCGCATACAGCAGCAGGCAACAAAAACAACTTGATCCGCCCGGCGGATTTCAGGTATACAGTACGGGTATTATCGGCCTTTGTCTGGGTTGCCCGGGGGCTGCCATTTTCAATTAAATTACCGGGGCATCGGGCGCAAATTGCGGTGGTCGTCCACTAGTAGCATTGTTGCTCTATCTATGTGTGTATGCAAGTATGTGCGAAATAAAATTCCACTCTAATTAATTTACATTATTTATTGGTTTCGCAATACTACACCTCCAATTTTGGGGGCTACTAATTAATTTAGTACTCTCTACTGCGCCACGTGATCTACACGCAAGTCGAACGAAATTGTAAATTGTGCGAGCATTAACTTAAATTTAGACTTCATTCAAAAATGACAGAATCGTTTTATTTTTCTTCTCGTTTTTACTTACTGTTCACCCGCCGCTCGCTGACTTTGCTTTAATTTATTGCGCTTTTTGGGCAAGAGACATTGAACTCGAAAGTGTGTGAAGGCATTTTATTTTGTTTGTTTCTGTTTGTGTTTCAGTTTCTGTTTCAGTTTAAGGTGTGGGCGGTCGGCCGGCAATGAAATGCAAATGTTGGCTAAATAAATGAGCGGGGGAAATATGTTAATTGGAACATTGACAGCTAAGTGATTTTTTCGTTAATTCCGACGAACAAATCCCAAGGCGGTGAAATTGAGTAAAGCCAGCAAAACAATTTTAGCAAATGAATTTTTTTTTTTTTGCATGTAGTTCAAGTCGTTTATTTAACATAAAACCGAATTAGGTTTTGTCTGTAAATATATACAAATTTTAATTACAGTCTTTTGAAAATAAACTGTACACAAATTAGTTGCCAATTTGTTGAGATTGCTGATTGCTAGAATAATTTAATTCGACTAACAAAGACTATAATAAAATAAACTGTATGTGTTTTTCTTTAAAACATGTACATTCTTTTGAATCAAATTCTTCAAAACACACTTGTACGTAATGTAAAGCGAAGCTCTATCAAACTATTCCAACCAAATCAGGACATCTGACACACTAGCTACTCCTTTTGAGCTGAAAATAGCGCCAAGAATTTTCCATAAAAAGGCATTCTCAGTTTGGCTTCGGAATTCCCATACTTCACAGTACGTGACTGGGAGTTGTAATCGGCAGGAAGGAGCGAGAACCACATAACACGCACACCACTCGAATGGAGAATAATATTTGAATTGCAAAATGGAGTGGACAAAACACAAATATAATTTGTGCAGTATATGCAAAATTGATTAGATTGGGTGCGGTTTGGCCTGGAACAATGTTCGCTTTATGGAAAATTGAAATTAGTTGACTTCATCCCCCCCCAAAACAGGAACACACACACACACACGCACACACAAACCTGACACATTAAATGGCATGCATAATTGAATTATCGAGTGGGTGAATTGTGGGCAAAACGGGGTCGAACCAATCCAGATGAAGGTGTTTTCCTGGCTTCAATTTCGATCGGTTGAAACAATTCCCCATGTCAATGGCACAGGGTGTAATTAAATGGAGAAGGAGCAGTCGTCGTGTGTTTGAAATTTAATAGAATTTCCAAGGGTGGGCAATGCGAAATGCAAAATGCATGCGTTTGTATCTCTGTTTCCGTGAGGATTTACGAGCCATTCGCAACGGCAACCGACAATGGCAACTGCAATCCTGCTGCTTGTTGTCCTGTCGTCCGTCTGCGTGTCCTGTGTATGTGGAAAACTGCTTGTGTATGCACATATGCAAGTCAAATAAACGTAATAATAAAATTGTTGCATACCACTCGCTCCGAATGCGGTATGCAAATGAGAAAAGGGGATTGAGTGGCGCTTCGAGGGTGAGTGGTGAATGCACATATCCGATATACGCATTTTCTGTATACAATAGAACTTGGTATAATAGCACTGCAAAAGACGAGTCCAATATATAGAAGGTGGTATAATTGTTTTGACAAGCTCTTATTATTACTATTTATAACTGCTTTACTTAAGTTCCACCAAAAAAATTGGTTTACATAAAAAATACCCTAACAAATTTATAAGACTATTTAATTGGTTAAAGTAATTATGCCAACTAGTGTAGAAGTAGCTAATAGAGAAATTAAGCAAAGAATAGACAGTGGCATTTTAGAAGTTTTCCCTATTTCTTGTGCCTAGAAAAAATGATTGCTTTAAGGGAGGCAAAAACTTGATTTTCAATTATTTGGTTGCATGTTCAGTGCTGCAATTTTAACGGCAACTGTTCAAATGCGTATTAGCAATTTGCAAATTTTACCCTCCGCTCAACGCTCATCGGTCGCCTTGATTGAAGGGTGGAAAGCACTTCAATTAGGGTTCTTTATTTGTGGGCGTTCACTGTACGTACCTGAGTTCGGTTAATCACTCCCTCGGCCAGAAAGTGAGGTAGGGAAAACAAAGCGCTAAAATAACAATTTAACAACTTGTTCAAGACGAGCAACTCTGCCTCCACCTGTCAACCCACCGCCGCCCCCTTACCGCTTACATTTCCCCACCCCCCGCCTCCCCGCGCCAATCCCCTTCACCCCGGAAAAACCGCTCAACCTCGTTATTGTCATTACCATTATATGAATGTATGCATGAACAATGCTCGGGTAATTATTGTTTTGGGGACAGACAGAGGCGATTGCGTGACTCGAGCACATTTGTTTTGTTTACGGAAAGTAATTGCAAAAGTTGTTTCAATTTTGCCCAACAGCGATAGCAAGCCAACCGAAGAGGGTTAACAGTCGCTCCTGAAAAACCAACCAAAAAAAAAAAAAAAATTATAGAAATAAAAAATATAAAGAAGTGAAAAACTGGGGAACAGAGCGGGCAAACAATGCATAATTGGCATCAGCTTAATGCTTTAACTTGCCAAGTGCCAGTGGCGAAAAACAAAATGCAAAATGCAAAATGCTACCAACCGCCCACCCGAAAAAACAGCATCAAAAACGCATTTGCCCCGCCCACTCAAACGATGGCGCTGGGCGTAAAAAGTTTTTAGTTCAACAGGGGGGCGGTTGGATAAAAAAAAAAGAAAATAAAGAGAAAACTATATGTGCATATAAAAAATTGTAAAATAGTGAGGTGGGCGGTGTGGGAGTGGCCTGGCCAACCAACGTTCTTTTTTTTTTTTTTTTTTTTTTGTGCCATTTTCTTCGTTGCTTTGTTGAAATTACAATTTTCTTTTGCTGTGTGCTCTCTTTTTCGGCATTTTTACCCCGCGCTGCACATCCGGCGCAAAAAGTGCATGAAAAGCGCAAAAATGGCACAACTACTATATATCTCCTTCCTCGTCTTTATTTTTTATTTTTTGTTGCCTCGATGCATAGTGCAAAAAGTAGAAGAAGAAGAAGAAATAGAGAGAAAACAAGTCGGACAGTCGGACGGGCAGTCAGTCATTTTAGCATTTCAGCCATTCAGTCAGCGAGTCATTCGCATGTTATCCACTTGGTTAGGGTGGTCCAATGGATTACATTCGCCAAAAAAGCTCTAAATATTCTATTTTGTAGTTGCACACGAGATACATTTTACTATGGAGAGCGGAACAACATATTTAAAGAGGATTTCTACTTTCAAATTTATTGAAGTTTATCTCAAAAAATATGGAGTAGATCGTTCTTTTAAAGAGCAGGGAAAACGCATGATTCATATAATTTCGGAAATTATTATAAAATGTTACCGTGTCAAAACAATAAAGTAGGTATATCAGTGGAAGAATCATTTATTGAATCACCCTAATCGAGACTTTTCAGCTTATTCGCATTCGCTCTTGCCTTCTGAATTTCCCTGTTATAAACTGTAAACCAACAAAAAAGCAGAAAATCTATGTTTTTTGCGAGCATTTTGGGCGAAAATGTTTGTGAATTATTTAAGGGGAAACCAAAGCATCCCAAACTAAACAAAGTGAGTTGGGAGGAAAAGCAGGAAGGAGCTGCTGTGGGGCACTTAAAATTCAACTTGCTAAATGAATTTTAGGCAGAATGCTGCCAACCGTCAGATATTTTTCATCTTTTCCCTTTATTCGCTCCCATCGGCATCTCATTCTATACATTCTAGATTTCCCCATTTAGGTTTTGTGTTTATTGTGTGTGTGCGTCATTTTGATGGTTTTCAATTGCAAATTAAATAGAAACGATTTATTTGTGTTATGCTTAGACAAACGTATAATGTACAATTTGTAATTAATTAAATATTATTATTGATCTCATTGCAGGTTGGTATTCAATTACACTGGCTTGGTTTACATTTTCAATAAGTTGTGTGTAAGTATAATTAATGTTTGATGGAAACATAATTGTGTTTTCCATTTAAATTGGTACATTGTTAAAATTATTTGTGATTTATAAATCAGCAAATGCTTGTATAAAATCCCACATTGAATGGCTTTTACATTCCTTTTGAATGCGACTTTCACCTTGAATGAGCAAATCGGAAAAGAAGGGACAACGAGTGAGTCATTGAGATAAATGGCCAGAGCATTTGGCAAATTGAAATCAAATCAAATCGATAGCGGCACATCAAATTGAAGTCTCCGGTGCTGCGGTGAAATACAAAAACACGAATCAAACTTTGACTTGGCAATGGGAGAAAGAGGGAAAATCCGAAAGTGCGCCAAATGCAACTAAGCGATACATAATACCGAAAAGAAAACACACAAATCCCCAACAAACTCCGACGATGCCTGCCAGATAAAAGATGATTGAATGCAACTGGCTGGCGCTGAATCCCCATCCCCATCACTTTTCTCCCCAAAATCCCCCCTTTCCTTCTTGTCTGATTAACATAAATCGTGCTGGCTGCTGCTGCCACTGCCCGACTATATCTTATTTCGATTTTTTTTCACTCGCCTCTGGTTTGTTTTGTTTTGTTTAGCTTCGTTTCGTTTCTCCCAAATGAACTACGGGCTTATGCAAAGCTCAGATGGCGGCAAGGCAGCACCAGAAATTGAATGGAAGCGAGCTGAAAAATACAAAAAAAAAAAAAATGAATAAAAACGAAAGGCAAAGCTGAAATGAAATTCAAATGTGGAAGGAGCAGGAGCTGCAGTTCCAGCAGGAGTTCGATGTGGATGTGGATGTGAATGGGGATGAGGATGTGGAGTGGTGGGAAGGAGCAGGAGGAGCACATCAGTGACTGCCTGCTGACTTTTATTGCAATCGCAGGTTTTGAATTCAGCAATTCAGGCTCCAACTTTGAAAACAGAGACGAAAACTTAACCCATTTTCAGTGCAGATGGTTGGAAAAGGGGGAGTTTTAAAATTATGAATTTTTCTTTATTTACAAAACATATAAAACATAAAGAAAATTAATGAGTTCTTTTATAGTATTTGTTATGTAATTAACATTTAAGTTGCTTTCCCTTAAACATAGAAACTATTTGTTTTAATGAGTTTCCAACAAAGTTATGAGCATTATGTAAACATTTCATGTTTCTGCGCCAAAAACTATGAGTAAAAGCAATTTCGCTGGCAACAATACCAACTTCCTTTGTCCAGAAAATCGAATCTTTTAAAGGCAATCAAAAATCGATACCAGCGACGGGTTAAACTTTTTGCTGCTGATGAGCATGAGAATGATGTTGCTGTCGGTCTCCTCTGGCTTTCTTCCTACGGGTTCTCTGTTTTTTTTTTTTTTTTTTTTTTATCTCCTCGCTCGTTTTTTGTTTCCTTCGCTTCGGTTTGAACTTCATTGTTGTTGGCTCGCTTAAAATTCCAAACAGCAAATTGCAACTGCCAACAATTTCGAGGCTATCAGTGGCATAGCATCAGGCAACCACGTCGCTGGTGGCTGCTGCTTTTGCTGCTGCTGCTGCTGCTGCTGCTGTTGCTCCTGCTGCTGGTGGAGATGCTGATGTTGCTCCTACCACTGGCAGTAATTTTATGCAAGATGCTATCTCAACACGCCTGCTGGAAGAGAGAAGGCAGAGAAATGCATGTAAGCCATTTCACTGGGGTTCTGCTACAGCTTCAGCTTCAGCTTCTTGGCAATGTATGTAGCTGCTGCTGCTGCTGCTGTGGCTGTTGCAAGTATGACAAACAGCCTGCTGCCGTCTTTTGAATGGAATTCAATTCCCATGCAGCAGGGGCAGCAGCAACCCTAGACGTCTCTCACATCTCGTGCCTTTTGTCTGCCTTTTATCTGCTGATGTTGCTGCCGTCGTTGCTGTTGTTGTTGCTGCTGCTGTTGTTGTTGCTGCTGCTGCTGTTGCTGTTGTTGTTGCTGCTGCTGCTTCTCGGCACAGCGGCAATACTTGTTTAGCTTGTTTGCCGCCGCTGCTGTGTTGCTGGTGATGTTGCTGCTGCAGTTATTGCCATTGTATCTTGATGCCTTTCAAGTGCCAATTGTGCGACCGCCCCGAACCTTTTTCCTTTTTTTTATACATATATATTTTTTTTGTCTCGTTGGGAGACAAACTCATTGCTTATTTAATTTAAGGTGGGAATTTCAGCGTTTTCCCCCTTCTTTGCTTTTGTGTCACGAGCGAATTTATTCAAATTGAGTTGATAATAGTGCGCTACTGCTGCTGCTGCTGCTGTTGCTGCCATTCAAGTGTTAATTGTTGTCGGCACCCTCTGAGGAGATTTTCTGTGTATTTAATAAATATTTGCACAGCAACAATAACGAGCGTCGGGTTTAATCAACAATGAGAACAGCATTTGCTCTTTTTACGACCGGCTCTAACTCTTGTCCGGCGTAATTCACGATTTCCTGCAGTAATTGAAAAGATAGCAAGACAAGTTGCTGCCGTTGCGGCAGCCACATTTCAGCTTCAGCAACTCGCCGGCAGTCGGGGCAGTGCATTAATTATTCATGAGTTGTCGCGCAGGCGACATTGCAGCCACAGCCAAGAGAAACAGCAACAACAACAGCAACATCAGTAAAAGCAACACCAACAGCAACAACAGCAGCAATAGTAGCAGCAGCAACATCAGCATTAGCAGCAACAGCAACAACAACTCGGAGACAGCGGCAACATAATTATTCATGCGCGCTTATCGCCAGTAAGGTAGGCAACACCATTTTAACCACAAGCGGATTATAATTATCAACAGTTGCCATCAGAACTGACAGACAGCCGGACGGACAGTTGCTACTTGAAGGCGCAGCAGCAACAGCAGCAACATGTTGCTGAGCTGGCTGGCGGTGCACAATGCATGGGTAATGGCCATCATGATGATGATGAAGCCAAAAACGCGCAGCAGCAAATATAATTACACGGCCAACAACAAGACAGACAGCTGCTTTAATTGATGTTGATTGCTATCAACAACACTGCCTCCGAGTTCTTCGCATTTTGCCGGGCTCTCCAATTCTCTCGGCTCAATTCGAATTCTTCATTCTTCTTTTCATTGCCCTCTTTTGTCTGAGGTGGAAACCTTTCCAAAATAATGAACTGTAAAAAAAAAACAGGCCGGGAACAATGGAAAACAAAATGTTGTGTTGCATGTCAGTGTGGCATTAGGAGTAATATGGCCAAAACAACTAAATTAGCATTACTAACTTGTGTTCGGATAATGACTAAATTGAAACGGAAGCAAATAAACAGCTACGCCCACGCTACAAAATTTTACACCTGAAACAAATATTCAAATGTTTGTACAACCAAAAACAAATAATAATTGTTTCAAAGCTTTTAGCTTTTTCGATAGATTTAATAAGCCAATACTTACAGATTATTTAAAGAGGATTGTGTTGCAAATCCGTTTAGTTAATATTGCCAAAGCTTATGTTATAAAAGCTAAACACATGATTAAACTTTACTTCAGAGCTCATTAAGTTAAAAGCATTAAATTCGAAATATTTGACATTTAAGCTGCTTTGAGTTCAATAATACACAGCTTTTCTTTTTTGAGAAATTGTCTTAAGAGTGTTTGAATGTTATGGCTCATAAATAGGATTTATTGTTTAGCTAACTCACAAATTGTATTAACCTTTTCGAACCACTTAATTGAAAAAAGCAGCACATAGGAAATATCCATGATTCCTTTACAATTAAAATGACAATAAAAACGCAACTCAGTAAAGGCATTAAATCGAAATTAGTAGACAAGCTGCTTACATTTTAATAATTTTTCTTGGGCCTTAACTTTTTGCTTACACTTTGCGTTTTTTTTTTTTTTGGCACTCCCCCAAAATATTATGGCTCATAAATCGGATTTATATTTTAGCTGCTGCAGCTAATGTTCGCACATATATATTTTATGCTTTAATATACACATTTATTTTCCGGACCATTTGGGTTTATAACCCCAAGCGGTTGTTAAGATATTTGGTGGTAATTGAAACTTGGGGCAAGATTGTCAAGGCAACATTTCATTCTTTATTTTCTGCCGGTTCAGCAAACGTCCTGTGATGAATCAATCAAAACTTAATTTGCCACGGGTCCCCGGTAGGCATTTAAATTTTAATTAACATTTTTGAATTGTGCTGTGCAAAAAGAGCATCTGGCCTCTCTTTCACTTGGTGTACTTATCCCATAAAAGTCTCCATGCAGGCCATCTCTCTTGCTCTCTCAATGCCTTTGGAATGGAGTTTTTGGAGAGCGAGAGGGAGCGAGGAGAGAGTGAGAGAGAGCGAGCTGCGGCAGCCATGTTTGTTGTATGGCGCTCACTCATTAAAGCCTGGCTGTGCGAGCGAGACAGCGACAGGTTGCTACAACTTTTGGCGCATGTTGAGCTGCGCATGCAAAAAAAGCAGAAAGGAAGAGGAAAAGGAAGGGTATGGGAATGGGAAACAGGAGATGTAGGAGGTGGTGGAGAAGGAGGTGGAGGGAAAGAAGGAGTTGGGGAAATGGGAAACTTTGCGACGCCTGCCGGCTTTTAGTTTGCCTTTTAAATGTTTAAACGATTAAGTCGAATTTTAATTTGGCCGCAAAGCATAACACGACTTTACACACACACACACTCACTTTATGTTTTTTGGCCTGTGTGTGTGTTTTTGCCCCCGGGTGCGGACCAAAAACTAACAGAAATGTAAAGCAGGCAATAAAGTGGCAACACGCTGACTTTGCCCATAAACCAACTAACCGAATCTGTTTTGGGGGCGTCGTTTTTTGCTCGAGTTTTGTTGTTGCTGCCTGTCCACTTAGAGATGGAAGTGCAGGCGATAAACGATAGACATGCAAATAAGTGGGGCCCATTCAATGATTTATGCCAGCTTGTTTGATTCAATCAAGAGAAAAAACGACAATAAATAAGAAACAATACTACACAAACAAGCATATTTTAATTTTGCCAAAACCTTTCCACATGGACTTTGTGTTTAAGATAAACAAAGTTGTTTGACTGTGCTTATTTGTTTCCATTCCCGATCTTCTTAAAAATACACAACCAATGATAAATAACAATGCTCAACGGAAATTAATGGAAACAATAAATATTAGGAGATTATAGATTAATTTGAACAAACATCGACATTAGATTAAGAATACTCGACAGAGTTATCCTGCTGACATCGAAGTAATTTGTTAAGGTGCGATTGTTTTTTTTTTTTACCTAGAAGGGAAACACTAATAGACAAAATGTTGACACGTAATAATGACAATATTAGTCAGAGTTTTTTAACATCAAAGCCTAATTTATTTTTGCTTTTCTACACCTTTAAATATTTTCTCTCCCCCAAACGCAAGATGTTCATCTTCCCCTTGGGATGCTGAGCTGCATGAATGAAAAACAAACGAGTCTCTGGGAGTCTTGGGAGTCCAAGTGGGGAGAAGTTGAAGAAGGTCTGTAGCAGCCAAAAGATGACTCGTCATTTTCCCTTTCTCTTTCTCCGAGAGTCTGTATGTTCCTTTTCCCTCTGGCTGCCGACACTCATTAATGTTTAAAGTGTTTTATGATATGCATAATTGCTTGTACAGATAATAAAGTTTTCTGCCCGACCAGTGACCACCCCCGGTTAGCTTTTGGCCCCTTGGGTCATTTGTCCATTCACTTAATTAAAATGCAAATGGAAATTCTTCAAATGGCTTGCACTGCGGTGGAAAAGCTATTGGGGGAAATGGAGAGGAAGGAGAAACGTGCATAACTCATGTCCCTGTTGATGACAGATTCCCTTTTCCTCGAAGCTTGTTGTCTGTACACAAGGATAAAGACAGTTAAACTCTGGAATTAATATTTCAAAATATTTATGGAGGAGTAGGAGTTATTTACTTGGTGGATTGTTTAAGTAGCCAGGCATAATATCCATACAAAATTGGTTAACCTAATAAAAATGTATAATGTTGGCATAGAACCTAACTTAGAACATGTTTTATGAGCTAATCTTTGGTTTGACAGAACTCTTTTCCTATTCTATGGGATGGCTATGTATTTCTTCCAGTGCACTCCGAATATTTGCGGAAGTTTTGCCCGGTGCATTGTCTTTGTGTCTGTTGTATCTGGTGGTGTTGCTGCTGCTACCGAGTTTACGACGCGTGAACGGCAACAGCAACTCATCCACAAAAGAAGAGGAGGCGACAAAATCCTCTTTTGCTTCCCTTTTAACAAGAGGGGAAAAAACGATCTTCGATGCTTCGTCAGCTTCTTGCTGCCTCCTCCGTTTTTTTTTTTGATATGATTTTTGTTTTTATTGTACAAGCGTTTCCAGTGAATTTTTTGATGATATCTTTGAATGTTAACATTCACAAAAGCGTAAAAATTGTTGCCCCTCTTCTTGTTCAGCCCTCCCTTTTCGCTGGCTTCCCCTCGTTCTGGCATTAGTTTATATATCGGCTTTATGAGGCACTTTTTACTGCTCAACCTCTGCTCTGTTCTGGACCCTTATCCCTCCATGTGTGTGCGTTCGTTTGGGTATTAAGTGAAATTCTTTTGTGTCGACAAGCGAAAATAAAATTCACACACTGCCGAACGTGCCGCAGAGAAAGAGGGGGAATAACGTATATACAGAGCAAAAAAATCAGAACTCAATTGTTATTTACATTTTAAGTGAAAGTATTATTGAAAAGTTAATAGTGTTATAAATAGTTTAAGAAAATTCAGCTTTTTTATGCCAATAACTCAGACTAGATAACTGATGAATAATGGTTTCTAACCTTTAGTTCTCTTGCAAATTTTCTTAATAAAACCGCGCCTTAAATCCAAACCAAATAGCACCCATTTACATATAAACTTCTTTTTTTGCGGTGCATGAAAAGAGCTGGGGTGAAACCAAGGCACACAATGGTTTTTAGAGGGAAGGACGAAGGGTTGGCGGTTGTTTAACTGGCAACTGGGACTTGATGATGATGCCGCTTTGCCCCGCTCATTTCCTCGCCTTTGGTCGCCCTACCTTATTTTTTCCCCCTTACATTTTTACCTGGCGGGCACAATCTCTCACAATAACAACAACAAAATCGGGAGGGGGAAAAAAAGGTGCAAAAGCAACAACAAAGGAACCGAAAACGAGCGACTGACGGAGTGAGAACAGCAACAACAACGACAACAACAACAGGCAGCAACAACGAAATACACCCAATGACAAGCTGCTCGGCAATTTGACATAATTTATACGTCAAATTACTGCAAATTGATGCTAAATGGCTTCAAATTGAATTGACTGGCGCAGAAGAGGCAACAACAACAACAAATTGTATGTGAAACGAACGAAAAAAAAAGCACGAAAAAAGAGGCAACAACAACAACAACAAAATGTAGCGCCCTGGCGGCGAAAATGGCAACAAAAAAAACTATAGAAACAACGTAGCCAACACACCGTGTCGAAAGTTGTTGCTGTTGTTGCTGTTGTGCTCACTCAAACGAAAACATTTTGAATTTTCAACGTGGGGGCATCTTATGTTGCTGTTGGCGTTGCTGTTTCTTTTCTGCTGCTGCTGTTGTTGTTGTTGGCGTTAATGTTGCTCTGGTTGCTTACGGTGCTGTTGCTACTCTGCCTGTTGTTGCTCTGGTTGCTTACGGTGTTGCAGTTGTTTATGTTGTAGCTTTTGTTGTTGTTGCTGCTGCTTTTGTTAATGTTGCCGTTGTTTCTTTGATGACTGTTGCTGTTTCTGATGTTGCAGCTACAGGAGTTACTGTTGTTAGTGTTGCTTTTTGCAGTTCTGTTGTTGTTAATGTTGCTAGCTACAAAGTTCTTTTGTTGCCATTAATTTCAATGTTAATATTATTTCTGTTGTTAAACTAGTTAAGCTGTTATTGAAGTTGCTAAATATTTATTTATAATAAAATCCAGCGGTTATCATAAAAACTAATAGCATCTTAATAAAAAATAAGATAACATTTGTCTTGCCATAAAACAATTGCCTAATTCCTTCGAACAAAAAGGAGATTAGTTGGCTTACCTATACTTTTTTTGCAAAATGAAGCCAAGGAGAATTAAAATTTATACCGTAATTGAAACCACATAGAAACCTTGAATGTCAGTTTATATACAGAAATACAGCAGGGAAAAACTCAACTTTCCTTTTACAAAAATTCACTTTGTACATTTTTCACAAAAACTGTCAAAAAGGTAGTTTAATACACTTTAAGCTACTTTATTGCAATGCCTTAATCCACTCTTTACCCAAACAATCCTTGATTTTTCACTAATTCCGCATTTTCCTTTTTCTCTTTGCAGGTATGCACTTTGTATTTGGTCTTTAATCTGGTAACTGGGAAAAATCAGCAAACAGCAGAAAACAGCTCAATTGTCGGCACACCCACTCAACGCCTTTCACACCTCTTGAAAAGCGAAGCGAACAGGAATAGTGTAGGTAAAAGGAAAGAAATTCCATTTCAGCACGAAAAAAAGAAAGCCATGAAATGTGCAATCGCCATAAAAAAAAGTGCAACTGTCAACGGAACACAAAAAACTTTGTTGTTTACAATTTGCCGTTGTTGCAGCAGTGCGCTTGCAAAATATTGAATTCAATTTAAAGCGCAAGAGGCGTTCATAAATCTCCGACAATTGTGAGCGGTGGAGGAGCGGTGGTAGAAAGGCCCGCAGGGCAGGGAATCGGTGAAAGAGTTAAAGTCGGATTATGGTCATGCACTCCCTTTCCATCCCATCCCCATCCCCATCCCCATTCCATCCCATCCACTTATTGTTCGCCGCGTCGCCTTCTCATCCGCTCACTCATTTATTCCTTTTGATTGCAGTCGTGAGGGGGAGGTGGAGATGGAGTTGCAGTCGGAGTCGGAGTCGGAGTCGAAGGGGGGATCGTAAACTGTCAGCGCAATTAAAATAAATTGAAACTGAACTTTCGCACACACAGTGGAAAAATAATTCAGAATGACCTACAACTTGAGAAAGAAAAACAAAAAAAGCAATAATATTTTTGAAAACTTTCTGGTTCAAACCAAAAGATTCTGTAGAATCAATAAGAAATCATTTATAAGAAAATTACATTAAATTCCTAAGTACAATCATTTTTAAGAAGTTTCCTATATTAAAATGATTTCAAAATTACAAACAAACTTCTGAATCTTCACGTTTCTTAACGATTCATAATGAATTTAAAATTTTTCATAAACTCTAATATTCTTATTTCTGAAAAAAAACACGGGCCAAATCGATTCGAAAAGTAATATGAGAGTTAAAAAACTTAAAGTATCAAAATGCAATAAATATGCATTTCGCACTGTGTGAAAATGAAATTAAACAAAAATTTTCCCGCCCAGCTGTCGCATAATTCATCAACTATTTAGGCGGCAACAGAAGGAAAATTGAAGAAAAATTTGCGTGTGTGTCGCAAAAAGTTTTTCATTTTTAGCATCTTGATTGTCTAGGAGGCGGGAGAACGAGGCAAGGAAGGAAGGAAGGCGGTAGATGGAGCATGTAGCATGGAGCATGGAGCGCAGGAACTTTGCCTGGTAGCCGGGCCAGAAAACGGTTTGCTTGCCATGGCCATGGGCAACTAAATGAACGTTCCACAGTCTTCGGTCTTCTGTCTTCTGTCTTTGGTCCTCTGTCCGTTGTCCGTAGTCCATAGTCCGCTGTCCGTCCCTTTCTGTCCGTTCTGTCCGTCGGCTAACCCATCTTCTTCTTCCCGAACCCCCAACGCCCCTCGGTTTCCGTTCGCTTACCTTCCTTCTCAGCTCGTATCTCAAATTGTTCAACTTCATCAGCAAAAAGTAAGGGAAAAGATGCTGCTGCCGTGAATTGTGGATGGGGAAGTGTACTGGGAAAAAAGATAATCCAGTAATTCATAGCAGAATCCCAAATGTTCTAGATGAAAATACCCGCGTTAATTTATATATTTAATAATCAACTTTGTCAATGTTGACGAACAAGTTATTTAATGAAATGTTATGAGAAATGTTCCTTCAACCTAAGAAATTGAAAACACATTTCAAATATGTTTCTGAATAACCTTTTTTTCTGTGTACCAAATCACACCAAGTCAGGCTACCCCTTATCCTCTATACATATATCCCCTGATCCCCTTGCTTGCTCCTCATTCGATTGTCATGAGTCTGAGCCCGAGACTCTTTGCTTTTGTCCTTTTTTGTTTTCCAACGGCAGCAGGCAGCGTCAGGAGACTAAGACCCCGAGGACCCAGAGCACTTGAGCTTGGGTTCTGAGTTGAGGAAGTCAAGGGAGATCGGGAACGGTGAAGGGTGAAGGATGAAGGGCTTCAGAGGAGCCGCACGAGGAGTTAAGCGGATGCATAATACGGAAAAATGCCTTGAAAACGAGACGAGGAGTGTTGTTCAGCGGGAAAGCGATACATTTAATACTCTTTAGCAGAAAAGGTTGTCCAAAATATACTTCAATGGGATTATTTTGGATTATAACAAGGCGATAAAAAAAGTAGTTAAACCACTAATAAATTAAATGTTGATCTATAATCAGTTTAATACTATAATAGGAGTTTCTTTTAAATATAAAGGGTATAATAAAACTATACCTCTTTTGTGGTATCTATCAAATACCCTAGTTTCTTTAGTCAAAATTCCAGTTTTAGAAAATCTGTAATAATGGCTCTCGTCCAGAGTGACGACAAGGACTTCCACGCCCTCCGGGAGGCGCAAAGGATGGTGGATTCGTGCCAGGACTTTGCAGACCACCTAATCGTGGCCGAATTTCTGCCTCATTGTCGCTGGGTGGCCTACATCAATATTCGCACCCTGGAGCAGGTCATCTATTGCGTGGAATTGAGTCGCGCCGGCTATCGGATTGTAGCCTATGACTTTGATTACGTGGCCGATGAGGTGGCCAATTGCGACACCTATTACGATTCGGCTCACCAACTTCTGGCCGGCATAAGTCCGTTGTACGGAGAGAAATATGGTTTTGGGCGAGAGCCGCTGAAGAACCGAAAGGAGCAGTAGTCTCCGGGGGGCGTGGCATGTGAAGAATGTGTCTGCTAATTGATAATTGCCGCCCCAAAAAGTGATAATTAAGCGTTTTGCAGGTAAATGACTTGATTGCAATAATAAAGCCAGCGGCCGTAAGTTGGATTCGGGGTCTGCCATTTGATTAATTGCTGCCAAGTGAGCGGAGATCGATGAAGAGGGGAAGGGGAAGGGGAAGGGGAAGGGGGAACAGGCAGTGGCAGGAGCAGGTTGCCAGTTGATTGACTCAACTTGGCACTCTCCGGAGTCCGGACCTTTTGTAGCGAAAAAAGTTAACAAGTTTTTGTGCCGTTCCACTTGACTGCCGCCGTCGAAGGAGGCGAATGAAGATGCAGACGGTTCGAGCACTGGGCACTGAACACTGAGCACTGAGCTCTTGAACACCGAACACCCAACCAAACCCAACCCAACCCAAGCCAATCCAATCCAAACCAACCCAGCCCAACTTGATGCTTCTCCAGCTCCAGCTCCATCACCACCACCACTTGTATTCCTCGTTTTGGCCGGGCACCAAGCCAACTAAGGTTTTTATCTAGTTGAGTCCATCTAGTCGCTTTTCCGTCCGTCCCACGGCTGTCTGCCGTGGACAACTCACAGATACACACGCTCGCAGTTGCTGCTGCAGACTTACTGATGAACGAACGCAGATACAGTCGGCCATCGATAAGAGTACTACATTTGTCTAGTTGAGTTCTACAAAAATCATGCACATAACAGCTTAGGCAATTTAAGTCACTGCCAACATTTTAAAACTGTTCTAAAAGCACTTCTTAAATTTGTTGATAACTGAAAATAGATAAAAAATGGATAATGCTTACCTTATCACTCAAAATTTAATTTGTAAAATTTTTTTTGTTAAAGAGGAGATAACACATTAAAAATAGATGAAGTACAAAACCATGAAAATGTCTTAGGTAACAGAATATTTATATGATCCAATTCTAATTATAACTTACTCTTCTTAAAATATTAGTTTACATTAACTAGTTTGCTTTAATCTTAAATGATGGTTCAACGCTTCGAAGCTCCACTGTAGTTGAGCGAACGCATTTGCTTTGGCGTCCGTATCGGCCATGTCTATCTGAGCTGGCTCTCCACTTGTCTATGCTCGTATATTTGTCCATTGAAGCATGCAATTGATTGCTGCAACGGCAACAGCAACAGCAGCAGCAGCAGCAGCATTATCCCCTTCCTTTGTTGCCCCCCTTGGAACCGATTCCCTCATGACTTCCCCCCTTTGCTCGCTGTGCTTTAATTGCCTTTTCATTGCAGCCCGTCGGCCTTTTGACTCAGTAGTGCCCCCTTTGTCCCCCTTGGCCCCTTTTTTCGCCTCCACTGTCAGTGTGTATATATGTGTGTGTGTGTAATTTGTGGTTGTTGTTCTCTGTTAATGCATTACATGAATTTTAACAAGCTTTGCATTCTGACTGACTATCCCCCCTTTTTGTCCCATTCTTGTTTGTTTATTGTAGCCGCATCTCCGTGAACGCAGACATAATTTAACCTTTGCCTGCCTCATTTTAATGCATTTCATTTCGCAAATTTTCAATCAATGAGAATCGCAAATTGAACGAGATTTTTAGATGGCCAACTTCCAGAAGGCTTACTTGTTTAATTAGTTGAATCACGGATGTGCTGGCAATAAAATAAGCTGGCTGCAAGCAATTCAGATCAAAGCATTTAAACAGTATACCACTTAATCAACAAGTTCCATTTAGCTTTTATTATTTAAGTGAACTCGTTGAAAAGCTATGATAATAAAAAAAAAAAACGCTACAAATAATTATTCCGGTTATTTGAGGAATATTTGCGGGCAATTTATATATACCATCCGCTTGTTGAGAACATTACAAATAATCAGCAGCGATTTAAATTATCAACAATCAACAATCTCCCTGACAATCGAAATAATTAGCTCGCAATGTATATTCACTGAACTAGTGTCCCTAGCATTATCTACTCAAATCGCGCAATCAAATACCAAAAACACAAATGAAAACAGGTCCGCCAATTGAGCTTGTGACACTTGACAAAAAATGTTGAAATATTAGGTTCTCAGAAATACATTTTTTAAATTTATTTTTAAACAGAATCAATTAGTTTTTTATATAAATTAAAACAATTTCATAAGTTCTTGGGTTAGTTTTCCAAAGCATTTAATACATAGGTTAATATTTACTCTGATTTGTGCTCGTGATTTATAAAAGCAAAAAAATAAACAATTTTTTCCCTGAGTGCCACTCCCTACCACGGGGTTTCCATGGAACTGCAACTTTTCCGTGTTAGTTCAACTAATTGGCTGCGTTTTTGGTTAATTAGCGCACCAGCAGCGAAAACTAACCATGGCAACGTTGTCCGCTGGAAATGAAATCTCTTTGCTGTCGCACACGCGCTTTTATTGGCACTCAAATTGGCAGCTAAACTTTGGCAGCAAAAGCGGCAACAACGGCAACAACAACGATGATATCAACAGCACCAAGCACACACCGCAAAACAACTTGCAACCGTCGTCGACTGACGACAACTATTTTGTCTGCATTAAAACGTTGTAATTATTTTATGCCAGATAACAATTTGATATTGTCAATGCCGCGAAATGTTCAAGCAGCGAATTGATGGGACAACTGAGGGGTTTTCGGGGCGATGGGAACTGTGTGAGTTAGATGGATGGTGGCTAAATGCAAATTGGTTGCCCATGTTGTTGTTGCTGTTGTCTGTTACCGTATGCTAATCAGGGTGAGCCGCGTTTCGTTGCAGCAAATTAATTGGCTTTTAAAGCGCTGTTAGATCGCCATCTCGTTTGTAATGCAAAATGAACACTTTTACACAAAGTCAAGCAATAAAAACCTTATTAAATGTGGGCATGTGTTGATATATATTATTGCTGTACCTAATAAAAACGAATGAACTCAATGCAGCTTTGTTTTAATACGGGATTACATTTGCAAATGTGAATTATGCAAAACTTAGCTTTTAATTGTATTGGTATAATTAGGAGGCCATCATAGTGAAGGCATACTAATTTTAAATTATAGAGGTAAAAATAAAATAGGTTAAACAATGGATATAAAACTGAATTGCAATAAGTTTTTATATTATTCAAAACAGTTATATAATAAAACGAATATGTACAGGCTATAAAAAACAAGGGTTCTTTTTCTATTGAAGCTTAAATGAATTCATTTCTTAACAAGCTTTAAGCTCTTCAAATATCTGTATTCTATGATTTTTCTGTGAGACTGCCATGCAATTTCCATACGAATCTGGTTCACTCTAAACTGAATTTTTCCCCAACCAACGAGCGGAGCTCGAAAATGGGGAAAACACAGCAGCGGCCACGAGTCTAGTGCAGGGGAATCCGGAGGGGAGGGGCTGCATGCTGCTGTCATCAGTTGACAGCCAGCAGCAGCGTCGCCTTCGTCGTTGTAGCTTTTAACAATTTGCAATAAATTAGCCGAGGCAACTGTGCAGAGTTTTCACTTGAAATGCAACTCGAATTGCATTTTCAAGGGGGCGAAACGAGGGGAAAGTACACGGGAAAAAGTTGATGAATTTAGTTAACCATTATAATGGTACATGCCTCTTACTTGTGGAAACAAAAAAACCGAAAAATAATATCATTATCAACGATGATCTTATGTTCGTGTTAAAACTAAAATATGAGTGCATTATGCTATAAATTTCTCTCTGTGCAGGACACTTTGTGCAATTTTTCCTTGGAGTTCTCCGCTCTCTACCCTACCGCAAACACTTTTTTTCGTACCACAACAGTTTCCAAACATGTCTTGCCAATTTCACACTCCAAACTGCCTGCCTGCCTACCCGCCGTCAGCTGGCTTCAAGCGATTTCTACCTGGCTCGGTTCATTTATTGGCCCGTGAGTCCGCCGGATTTTATGACGATCTCCGCGCAGCTGGAATTCGGCTCACACCTCGGAAATGCCCAAAAGCAAAGAACAGTTGACAATAGAGAGAGGGAGGAATTTCAGGATTTAATTGCCCTGAATTTAAAACATTTTTGTCCTGATTCGAACAACGACGGATAGGTTGACTGCAAGCGATGGAGGAGAGGAGATGACGGCCTCGGCCCTATAGAAGCCCTCTGCCAATACTTCCGGCAATCCCTTGCCGTTCATGGTGCATCGGGTGAAGTTGTAGGTCGCCTTTGGCCAGGGCGGTACATATCCATCGTCATATCGTGGCAAATCGGTACAATCGCCGAGATTGGCCATTATTATGTCCTTGTAAAATGTTTCGATGTAGTCAACGAACTTTTGAGGTGGAATCGACCAAGGAGTCATCTTGTAGTCCTCCTCCTTTCCAGAATAGCTGCTCAAAATTCGCATTTCAACCTGATTATAATTTATTTATTTGATATATGAGTAGGAATTAATGATACATTGGGGGATTGTTGTTACCCACCATCACGTTGTCATCCATATCTATATTCCAAAAGAATGTTCCCGAAAAGCTGAAATCTCTGGCTTTGTGCTCGATTCGCAGATCCATGTCCATGTCACTCGGATTTGTGGTACTGCCAGAAATCGAAATGGGCGTGGCCTCCCAATTGTTCTGTAAAATATACCAACATTTAAATCCGTTCAAAAATTAAATATATTGCAATTTAGTAAAAATAATTAAAGAACTGGTTATTAAATATAAAATATATTTGAAGTCTCTTTCAAAGGGAAGTCTTACCCTTGCAGCACAATCATCGTATAAATACACAAAAATGCCCACAAAAAGCAGAAAGGGCACAGAAAACGGTAACATTTCTAGTTAAATTGGTCATGTTGTCTAAACCCGTTAGGCTTATATAGTTCTCGAACTAAGTGAGCCTTTCAAAAATAACTGTTCCGCACGGAAACTTTGTGTACAAATTATTATCAAAATAATAATGTTAATAAGCGACAGAATGAGTGCAAATCATGCAACTCATATCTTTATTTGTTCATCTACACGGTTTGAACAACTAGTTTTATCTCAAAAATAAATATTAATAAATACCAACAAGTAGTACAATAAAACACTAGTAACAACATGAGTTTCCTTGATTTTAATGGATAAACAATCCCATCTCTTACATTATTGAACTCGATATGTAACCAAAGTAAATAAACTTAAAGAAGTATTTTGACTTGTAGTTCATTAATTTATTACTTACTTTAAGACCATATCAATGCCTTTTGAAAACTTTAATATTTACATTTTTCAATTTTAGTTACAATTCAAAAAAAAAAAAAACAGTTGTCTGCCAAAAATGTGCCCTTCAGATAACCTTGCTCATGACCTTTACGATTAGCGTGAAGCCCCAGTCGACCTGTCCAGTGGCTTTGTAACACAGCTTGAAGAATCCTTCGGGGGCGACTTCTGGTAATCCCTCGCCATTGGCCACACACCTATCGAGCTTGTAGAGATTAGGGGGCCACGGGGGAACAAAATCGCCTTCGAATTGTAGCATATTCGAGCAGTGTCCCACATTCTTTATAAACGCATCCTTGTAGAAGCCGTTTAGATACTCAAAGAATGGCTGTTGGGGAATAGACCAGGGCATCATTTTGTAGTCGTTCTCATCTCCCGATGAACAGTGATAAACATCAGCTTCAACCTGTCAAGAAAACTAGTTTTTTTTAGGATTGTTAAAATATAAACGCAAATATTTACCATATCATTTTCATCTGCTTGATATTTCCAATCCAACGTCATGGAAAAGGCATATTCACTGCGTCCCAAACGCTCAACCTTTGTAGAGATATTTAATAGGTTCTCATCCGAGGTATAGGATGTTAGGGATATGGGCTCGTACTCCCAGTTGGGCTGTGAAGTTATATCAAAAATTAGAGATCCTGAGGGTGTACTAGAAAGTCCTGACATACTGCTGCAAAACAGCCGTTGAAAACGAGCGCACCGAAAAAAAACAGCAGCGAGATGCGCGGTTTCATCTTAACAAGATTAAACTTAATTCGACTGCAAATCGGTTGTTGTTTATATAGCAAACGAAGGCTAGTAGAACGATATTGTTTCGCCTGAGATGTGTACAAATTATATAAGCTCATGTTACATTGCTCGCAAACATGATAAAAAATGCCAAAAACATGTAGAAATTTTCGGATTTAAAGGTAAATGTATGGGAGATGGTTTAGGAACTGCACTGCACTGAAGCAGTCCTGCCTATTTTTCATAGAAACTATTACTTATTCAATATTCCACTGCCCCCATAATCAGCAGAACTCTCAAAAAAGTTCCACAGTCAGAACTCCTCGTTAATTTTTGTAAATATAATATTAAGTACTTAAGTACTTACCTACAACGAGTGATTAAAAACTTTGAAGTTTTAAACTTTCGTTTAAAAAAATTTAATTATTTTTTACATGCATTAAACAATTAGAAATGTGTAACATCTCATAAAGTCTACAATTTCATAATAATCAAATATTTATTGTAATATAAGGTTAGTTGTTAGTAATACTATATTGTTTGCACTCGATGATTTTTTCACTATCTACCATCTTACTGTCAAAATGATATCTACTATTTTAACACATAAGAACTTTTACCGATTTTAGCCACCAAAATGCTACATTTAAACACAGAAGATTAAGCTTTATAGAAACTTTATAAAAACTCTTTAATAATATAACCTAGTCTAATAAGTAAATAAAATATAACTCTAAACAATAGTGTCACGTAAATAAAACTACTTTCAATAACTCGGTATTTTACTTTTGTTTTACCTTTCAAATTACGACGGTTCTCATGAAAAGGTCTTTTATTTTTGATTTAAAACAGTTTGGCTATTAGTCTTGCGACAGCAATAAAGCCCCAATAGGGCTGATTCGGTCCGGTGCAATTAAATATGAGTTTGTAGTATCCGGGGGGCATCAAATCCGGTAGCCCATCCCCATTGACCAAGCATTTTTCTGCGTAATATTTCTGTTTAAGCCAGGGCGGTTGAAATTTATGCTTAAACTGTGGCAAATTGCTGCAGGAGGCAAAATCCTTCATAAACAAGTCCTTATAGTAGGTGTTGAGGTAATCGTAATAGGGTTGTTTGGGAGCCGCCCAAGGGAGCATTTTGTAGTCTCTCTTATCTCCCGAACTGCTGCGAAAGACAATGACTTCGACCTGGATAATATTAAAGTTTTCATTATGCGGATTCAAATATATAGATTTACGTTCACCGTAGTTTCGTCGGTTGCATCGTAATTCCAATCAAGAGATCCAGACAATCCGATTTCCGACCGCCCCATTCGAACGACTTTTGCCTCGGGTTTTACTAGCTTAAGATCCGAAGAGAAGACTTCCAAAGATAAGAGTTCGTATTCCCATTTCCGCTACATAATATTTATATGATCCAATTATTAAATATTAATATCAAATATTAATAAAAGATTTACCGCTGCTTCACAGCCGATGAATAACAGGAATAAAAGACTAAATTCAACAAACAAGTAGCAAGACATTTTCTAATATTTAACTGACTGGCAGCATGTCTGAGTTTCAGTTTATATAACTGGCAGCAACTAAAATAACGTTAGCATTTTTGCACGACATTATTATCAGACTAATTTAATATTTCTAATAACCTAGAGAATACAAGCCAATCAAAACATTATACCAATCTTAAATCTACATTGCATTGTTGCAATATTTATCCCTAAGTAATTGGGAATATTTAAGACTGTAAATGTGTGTAATGTCAAACCAAAAAAAAAAAAAAAAACAATTTAGTAAATATATTTCTTTTAAAATTTCACAAAGGAATTCAGTATATTTTATCCAATAATATTGTTTTAAGTTAACCCTTTTCTTTGTTTACTTTATTTTGTTTTTGCATAAAATATCGCCATACTGAAACCCGAATTAAATTGTTCTTGTCATTTTATATTAGGTTGTTACATTCCAATTTCGCGCTTCGCTTGTGAAGTCAAATATAATCGTATCTGGCAATGCCGTATATCGTTTAAAAGGTATTGGTATCACCTTTAAATTTACTACTTTAAATAACTCCGTATTTTACTTTTGTTTCTCCTTTCAAATTACGACGGCTCTTATGAAAAGGTCTTTATTTTTGGAGGTTTCCGTTGATTTAAAACAGTTTGGTTGTTATTCTAACGATAGCAATAAAGCCCCAATAGGGCTCATCAGGTTTGGTGCAATTAAATATGAGTTTGTAGTATCCGGGCGGTACTATATCCGGCAGTCCTTCGCCAATAACCATGCATTTTTCGGCGTAATATTTCTTTTTTTGCACCGGCGGTTGAAATTTATCTTTGAACTGTGGCAAATTGCTGCAGGAGGCAAAGTCCTTCATAACAAAGTCCTTATAGTAGGTGTTGAGATACTCGTAATAGGGTTGTTTGGGAGCCGCCCAAGGAAGCATCTTGTAGTCTCCCTCATCTCCTGAATTGCTTCGATACGCAATGACTTCGATCTGGATAATATTAAAGTTTTCATTATCTGGATTCAAATATATAGGTTTACGTTCACCGTGGTTTCGTCGGTCACATCATAATTTAAATCGAGAGTTGCGGACAATCCGATTTCCGACCGCCCCATTCGAACGACCTTTGCCTCGATTTTCATTAGTTTTGGATTCGAAGAGAAGACTTCCAAAGATAAGAGTTCGTATTCCCATTTCCGCTACATAATATTTATATAATCCATTTATTAAATGTAAATATGAAATATTAATAAAAGATTTACCGCTGCTTCACAGCCGCTGAATAACAGGAATAGAAGACAAAATTCAACAAACAAGTAGCAAGACATTTTTCAACTATTTAACTGACTGGCAGCATGTCTAAGTTCCAGTTTATATAACCGGCAGAAAATTAAATAACGTTCGCATTTTGGCACGACATTATTATCAGATGATTTTAATAATTGTAGATTGTAGATTATAGATACAAGCGAATCATAACATACCAATCTTAAATCTACAGTGCAGTGTTAAACTATTTATCCCTAGGTATTTGGGAACATTTAAATCTGAAAAATGTGTGTAGGGGCAAACCAAAAAATTCAAATTAAATTAATAAATATATATATACATATGTTTTAAAATATCATATGCAGTGCAAATGGGAATACATTAAAATTAATGTAATTTGTGATATCTTATAAAAAAAAATTTTACGTTAACTATGTATTACTATATTTTTTACGCTCTACGATTTTATTTACTGTTTACCATTTTTTTTATTAAAATATAATATTTACTATTTTAAACACAAGAGCTTTAACCGATTGTAGTCGCAAAGATCATACATTCATTCACGTAGAAGATTAAGCTACATATATAGAAACCAAATTAGTACTCTTTTACGTAAATACCTATTAACTTAAAACAAAAATATGAACTCTAATTTCACTTTTGTTTCTCCTCTGAAGTTAAGACGGTTCTTATAAACATGTTTTTTTTATTTTTTGGGGCTTCCGTTGATCTAAAACAGTTTGGTTGTTACTCTTACGATAGCAATAAAGCCCCAATAGGGCTGATTCGGTCCGGTGCAATTAAATTTGAGTTTGTAGTATCCAGGGGGTAACAAATCCGGCAGCCCTTCGCCATTGATCATGCACTTATCGACGTAATATTTTTTTTTTTGCATCGGCGGTTCAAATTTATCCTTAAACTGTGGAAAATTGCTGCAGGAGGCAAAGTCTTTCATAAACAAATCCTTGTAGTAGATGTTGAGATAATCGTAATAGGGTTGTTTGGGAACCGTCCAAGGGAGCATCTTGTAGTCCCTCTCATCTCCCGAACGGCTGCGATAAGCAATGACTTCTATCTGGAGAATATTTAAGTTTTTGATAAGGGATCTAAACATGTAGATTTACATTCACCATAGTTTCGTCGGTTGCATCGTAATTCAGATCGGCGGTTGCGGACATTCCGAAGTCCGCGCGCCCCATTCGAACGATATGCGCCTCGAGTTTCATTTGGTCAGGATCCGAATAGAAGACTTTCACAGATAGGGGCTCGTATTCCCATTTCCGCTGCAAAATAATATCAACAATACATTAAATATGTATATATAAAAATATTCAAAATGGATTTACCGCTGCTTTACAACCGATTAAAAACAGGAATAGGAGACAAAGTTCAACAAACAAATAACAAGACATTTTTCAAATATTTCACTGACATGTAGCATGTCTGAGTTTCAGTTTATATAGCCGGTATAAAAAATAAAATAAAGCCAGTAGTTTTGCATGACATTATATCAGACTAATTTAATATTTTCACTAACCTAGAGATAAATATTTTGACAAGGCACAGTACATTGTAGATTGGTAAAATGCAAATCATTTATAACATTATACCATCTTAAATCTACAGTGCAGTGTTAAAATATTCCCTAGGTCATTGGGAATATTTCAGTCTGTAAAATGTGTGTAGGGACAAACCAAAAAATACATGTTCATTATATAAATATATTAGGTTGTTTTTATTTTAACAAAGCACGGTATATGTAGATTGTTAAAATACCAGCCAATCATGACATTATACCAATCTTAAATCTACAAAGCTTGTTAAAATATTCATCCTTAGGTAATTGAAAATATTTAGGTCAAACGAAAAAATACAAATCAACTTAAAAAATATATACGTTTTAAAATTTCATAGATGAATAATAATAATATTGTTTTAAGTAAACCCTTACCTCTTTTCGCTATATTATGTTTTTACATAATGGGTTTCAGTAAAACCCGAATGAAATTATTCTTGTTATTCTAGATTTTTCCTGGTTATTATATTTATTGAGTTAAAAAAATTTGGTTGTAATTTTATAAAGACCAACTGCACCCCAAGAGGGCTGATCCGGTCCGGTACAATTCAATATGAATTTGTAGAATCCGGGAGGTACGACATCCATCACACCTTTGCCATCGTCCACGCATTTGTCGGCGTAATATTTCTGCTTTAGCCAGGGCGGTTCAAACTTGTCCTTAATGTGAGGCATATTGGTGCAGGACTCATATTTATCCATTAAACGATCCTTGTAGAAGGTGCTGAGAAAGTGGTAAAGGGATTGTTTGGGAATCGCCCAAGGGAGCAATTTATAGTCTCTCTTATCTCCCGAAGTGCTGTAAAGGATAGTGAATTCAACCTGGAAGAGGTTGTGGTTCTTTAAAAAGTAATAGAACTCATATCATTTTTTTTCACCATAGTTTCCTCGGTCGCATCGTAATTCCAATCGACAGTAGCAGACAATCCGTATTGCGCCCGCCCCATTCGAACGATCTTTGCCTCGAGTCTTATTAGTTCCGGATCCGAAGAGCTGACTTCCATAGATAGGGGCTCGAGTTCCCATTTCCGCTGTACAACAATATAAACAACACATTTATTATATAAATAATATAATAAATATAAATAATATTCAAAAGGGACTTACAGCTGCTTTATAACCGTTGAATAACATGAGTAGGAGACACAATTTGACATACAAGTGGCAAAACATTTCTCAAATATTTAACTGACTGGCAGCATGTCTGAGTTTCAGTTTATATAACCGGCAGCAACTAAAATAACATTGGGATTTTTGCACGACATTATTATCAGATGAATTTAATATTTGCACTGATCTAGAGATTATTATTTTAACAAGACACGGTACAATCTAGATTGGTTATATACAAGCCAATCATAACATTATACCAATCTTAAATCTACAGTGTAACCAAAAAATACAAATCAAATTAATCTATACTAATATTATAAAGAGGTAAAATTTGTTTGTTTGTTTCTTTGTTTGTTTGTTTGCAGGGAATAGGCTCCGGAACTACTGGTCCGATTTAAAAAATTCTTTCGCCGATAGAAAGCTATATTATCGTGGAGTTAAATAGGCTATAATTTATTTTGAAAAAAATTAGGGATCCGTAAGAAAATTGCAGTATTATCGCATATAAAGTGAGTTGCTACCTCATCACACTGACAAACACGCTCCCATAGCATTTTAACTCAATTTTTGTGTTCACTGTGAAATTGTGAAAAAAAAGAATTTTTATTCAATTTAAGTTGAACTGTGAAAATTATGTGGATCGTGCATTTGAGGATAAATTCACCACTCTGTCCATAGTCCAAAATGCTTAGAGGACGACGTGCAAACATTGGCCGCAGACATCCAAGCCAGCAGCCAGTATATTCACAAAACTTAAGCGAAAAAAGACAAATGAGCACATGGAGATCATTGGCATCATTCAATCGCTTGGCATTCCAATATGACCCCACTGCGAACTACAGTGATAATGAAAATTTAGATATTGGACCAATGGCGACTATAGGTATACCGATATTGCAGTGCGTTAAAGTTTAAAAGAGAAACGGCTGGATTGTCCTGCGCAAGTGGAAAAGTCAAACTGGAAAAGTGTTAAATCACCATCTTTCTATACTTCCATATATTTGAAAAATGTTGCAATATTGACTTTTATGTTGTTAAATTGTGTTGACCAGCGAAGCGGACACAGGACCTCTAGTAAATATATATGTATGTTTAATACATCACATGCAGCGAATATGGGAATACATTACAATTATTGTAATGTGTGATATCTAATAAATAACAAATATTACGTTAACTCTGTATTACTAAATTGTTTGCGCTCGACGATTTTCTTACTGTTTACCAGTTTACTATTAAAATAATATTTATAGTCGCCAAGATCCAACATTTAGAGAAACCATGTTACTACTCTTTTACTTCAATACCTAATAACTTAAAAAAAATATGAACTCTAATTTTACTTTTGTTTCCCCTTTCAAGTTTAAACGGTTCTTATAAAATTGTTTCTTTATTTTTGACGGTTTCCCTTGATTTAAAACATTTTGCTTGTTAATTTTACGACAGCAACAAAGCTCCAAGAGGGCTGATCTGGTCCGGTACAATTAAATATGAGCTTGTAGTATCCGAGCGGTACCATATCCGGTAGCCCTTCGCCATTAATGATACATTTTTCAGCGTAATATTTCTGTTTAAGCCAGGGCGGTTCAAATTTGTCCTCAAACTGTGGCAAATTGCTGCAGGAGACAAAGTCCTTCATAAACATATCCTTATAGTAGGTGTTGAGATAGTCGTAAAAGGGTTGTTTGGGAACCGCCCAAGGGAGCATCTTGTAGTCGCTCTCATCTCCCGAACTGCTACGAAAGGCAATAACTTCGACCTGGATAATATAAAAGCTTTCATTATAGGGATCCAAACATATAGAATTGCATTTACCATAGTTTCGTCGGTCGTATCGTAATTCCACTCGGCAGTTCCAGTCAGTCCGAAATCCGCCCTCCCCATTCGAACGATCTGTGCGTCAATTTTTATTAGTTTCGGATCCGAAGAAAAGGTGTCCAGAGATAGGGGTTCATATTCCCATTTCCGCTGCATAATAAGTATAAATCCATTTATTAAAAATAAATATCAAATATTAATAAACAACTTACTGCTGCTTCACAACCGTTGAATAACAGGAATAGCAGACAAAGTTCAACAAACAAATAACAAAACATTTTTTTCAAATAATTAACTGACTGGTAGCTTTTCTGTGTTTCTCTTTATATAGCCGGCAGTGGCTAAAAAAAGTGAGCAGTTTTGCACGACATTTTCATTAGACTAATTTTATTTTTCAAATGACACAGAGATAAATATTTTACAAGGCTCTATAGTTTGTAGATTGGTAAAATATAACATTATATCAGTCTAAAATCTACATTATATTGTTAAAATATTTATCCCTAGGCCATTATGAATATTACCGTGTAAAAAAAGTGTTTAGTGTCGAGGATAGCAAAACAAAAAGTAATAATTAAAAATATATACATTAATTTTATATATATAAAAATCATAATGAGGTAAAATTCAGTATATGTATTTAATCCAATAATATCGGCAATAAATTTAATAATAAAGATGTTCCAAAATTGTTTTAAGTAAACCCTTTTCTCTTTGTTTGTTATACCCTTACCGAGCAAAAGGGTATTATAATTTCAGTCAGAAGTTTGCAACGCAGTGAAGGAGACACCTCAGACCCCATAAAGTATATATATTCTGGATCAGCATCACCATCTGAATCGAAATACGTCTGTCCGTCTGTCCGTTTCTCTTTAAACTAGTCTCTCAGTTTTAAAGCCATCTTGCTGAAACTTTCCCAACTTTCCTAAGTCGGAACGGGCCGGATCGGCCGTCTATATCGAATAGCTTTCATACGAGAGAATGAAAAAAAAAATTCTTACGGCGTTTTTTCAGATCGACTTAATTTCTTCCAGATGGCGTTTTCCGACGGCTATTGAATTTCGGATTAAATTTTATCCAAGTCGGATAACTCTATCATTAGCTGCCTTAGGAAAGATCCAAACAAGAAAGGAAGCTAGCTTCGGCAAGCTTCGGCAACTAAGCTTCCTTTCTTGTTTTACTTTTGTTTCTCCTTTCAAGTTAAGACGGTTCTTATGAAAAGATTTTTTTTTATTTTTGACGGTTTCCGTTGACTTAAAACATTTTGCTTGTTAATTTTACGACAGCAACAAAGCTCCAAGAGGGCTGATCTGGTCCGGTGCAATTAGATATGAGTTTGTAGAATCCGGGGGGTACCATATCCGGTAGCCCTTCGCCATTAATGATGCATTTTTCTGCGTAATATTTCTGTTTAATCGAGGACTCATCAAATTTGTCCTCAAATTGTGGCGCATTACTGCAGGAGACAAGGTCCTTCATAAACATGTCCTTGTAGTAGGAGTTGAGATAATCAAAAAGGGATTGTTTGGGAATCGACCAAGGGAGCATCTTGTAGTCGCTCTCATCTCCCGAATTACTGCGAAAGGCAGTAAGTTCGACCTGGAGTATATTGAAGTTTTTATTATAGGGATTCAAACATATTGAATTACATTCACCATAGTTTCGTCGGTGGCATCGTAATTCCACTCGACAGTTCCAGACAGTCCGAAGTCCGCACGCCCCATTCGAACGATCTTTAAGTCGGTTTTTACTAGTTTCGGATCCGAAGAGAAGAATTCCAGTGTTAAGGGTTCGTATTCCCATTTCCGCTGCATAATAATATCAACAATACATTAAATAAAAATAAAATTATAAAAAACGATTTACCGCTGCTTTACAACTGTTGAATAAGAGGAATAGAAGACTCAATTCAACAAACAAATGACAATACATTTTTCAAAAATTTAACTGACAGAAGCATGTCTGAGGTTTAGTTTATATAGCCGGCAGCAACTTAATTAAAGAGATCAGCTAACTAATTCGATATTTCCAATGACGTAGAGATAAATATGTTAACAAGGCACGGTACATTGTAGGTTGGTAAAATATAAGCCAATCATAACATTATACCAATCTAAAATCTACATTGCATTATTAAAATATTTATTCCTAGGCCATTATCAATATTAAAGTGTGTGAAATGTGATTGTTGTCGAGTATAGCTAAAAAAACCAATAATAAAAAATATATACATATAAACATCATGATCATGTAGAATTCAGTATACTTCTTTCAATAGTATCGGCAATGAACAGAATAATAAAAGCATGTTGCTTTGAAGTGTCACTATTTTTTATACCCTTGCAGATCAAAGAGTATTATAAGGAGACACCTCAGACCCCATAAAGTATATATATTCTTGATCAGGATCGGGAAATAAAATTATGATATCGTTGTTTTTCATCAGACAAGCATAATTTTTGGAATATAGAGTTTTCTAACTACTCTTGATTTACATATCAAATTTTATCAAAATCGGTTAACTATACCATGTAGCTGCCATATGAACGATAGTCAAAAATATGGAAAATGAATAGAAGAATCGTCATAGCTTCGATGTTGTTTAGCCTTTATGTATTTTGTTCGACATATTTAATGAATGCAAAGGTTTCTTTTCTTGTTTTTACATAAAATAACTGAGTCTCGAATTTAAACCTTCTTGCTATTTTATAGGTTTCCTTGTTTTTGTTTTTAAGTTAAACAAGTTTGGGTGTAAGCTTAAAAACACCAGCTAAACCCCATGAGGGTTGATCAGGTCCAGAGCAGTTCAATATAAGCTTGTAGTGTCCGGGCGGAAGCATATCTGGGAGTCCTTCGCCTTCAAAGATGCACTTGTCTGCGACGTACTTGTCCTGAGGCCACGGCGGTAACAAGTCGCCTTCAAACTGTGGAAAATTAGAACAGGGTGCCAACATCTTCAAAAAAACATCCTTGAAGTAGGTGTTGACATAATCGTGGAATGGTTGCCTGGGAATCGCAAAAGGAAGCAGCTTGTAGTCGCCTTCATCACCCGAAGAGCTTCTGTAGACCACGACTTCCACCTGGTTGAAATGATTATGTTGCTTTATATCTACGAGAATTAGAATTTAATATTAAGGATTGCACTGACCATGGTTTCTTCAGTCGTATCGTAGCGCCACTCTATTACAATGGATATTCCAATTTCTCCGCGGCCCATTTGAACGATTTTTGGATCAAGACTCATTTGGGAGGCATCCGAAGTAAAGGCTGTGACCGACAAAGGTTCATATTCCCATTTGCGCTTTAAAAAAAAAAAACATAAAATTGGGATAATAATATGAGATTAAAGATCCAAACTCACCTCTGCTTTACAGCCACCGAACAACAGAACTACCAACCAAAGTACGATAAACGAATAGTAACACAACATTTGGCAAATGTTTAACTGGCATACGATGCACCGCCTTATATAACCAAACACTACCGATAGAAAACGTGAATTGTTGCACGGCATTATTGTCGGTTATGTTAACTAGGTTATCATTATCATTATCACAATGCACCCATAAAGCATTGTTTAAATATTTCGCTCAAGGTCATACAAAGAACGAGAACTAGTTCTAGAATTCTCAAAAATGCTAGAAAAATATGGAACTTTTAAACTACATGTAAAAAGTATGTAACTAGATAATTTGTATAATCGCTCTAGGTGTTTCTTGAACTCGATATGTGAATTACTGTTTTACTCATCAAGCTAAAACAAATGAGAAGATTTTCTGTACCTCCTTCAGGCGTAGAAGTACAACATTTTTAAAAGTATATTGCAAAAAAAAAAAAAAACAAATGTGTACTTTAATTGAATTCATTTTATGTGACATTCTGAAACAGAGCTTGGGAAAAACCGCTCAAAACATTTTAGTTGTCAGTTTAAAGACTGCCGTAAAGCCCCACGTGGGCTGTCCGGGTCCAAATTTAGTAAAGATAATCTTGTAGTATCCGGGTGGAGCGACATCCGGCAATCCCTCGCCATCGATCTTACACTTGTCGAGTTTGTACGTGTCCCTTGGCCAAGGAGGTTGAAACTTGCCCTCGAATTTCGGTAGATTTGAGCAATAGCCCATATTTTTTATAATCATGTCCTTGTAGTAGGTATCGATATACTCATAGAATTTCTGCTTGGGAATTGACCAAGGTAGCAGCTTGTAGTCACTTTCGTCGCCAGAATTGCTGCGATAGGCATAGGCCTCCACCTAAAAATATAATATTTTGAAATGCAGGTATCCGAAATCGTAAATGTATTTTAAATGACCCACCATAGTTTCTTCATTCGCATCATATTTCCACTCGATAGTAACCGATAATCCGAAATCTCCGCGGCCAATTCGAACTATTTTGGCATCAATTTTAAGTTTGCTGTCATCGGATGAGGTGGTGGTCAGCGATATCGGTTCGTAGTCCCATTTTCTCTAAGGGTTTAGTTTTTAGTAGTTATTCATTTTTTTTATGTAAAACACTTACCTCTGCCCTTGCCAAATGGAAACCCAAAAGCAAAGCTGCAGTTATCGTTAAAGTCAGAAGTTGAGCTGCTACCATTTCGCTTCAATGGGATTTAGAGTATTCTAATAAATAAAAAGCGGTTTATATAGCCGGATTTAGAAATTTCGATTTTCTTATCTCACGGATTTATCATGTTTACATGCAACGGTTTACCAATTAACATTTGTTTAAAAACATTTTAGAAACATCGTTTTAGAAACAATGAAAGCAAGTCAATATATGATGTAATACATTCATTACTGAAAACCTAACAAACCCGTGTTCTTAATTGCCCAATAATAAAAAATTGATTCTCTTTGAAGCGGTGTTTATTGCAAATTTTATCCAACTAACTACATGCTGCAAATATATTATACATTTGGTGTTTCAATATATATTGTGTGTGTGGAGATCACATAACCTTGGTGGAGATCTTCACAACAAGGATGAAACCCCAGTCTACGGGACTCATAATGGTAAAGTTGATCTTGTAGTAGCCCTCGGGCACCATGTCCGGAAAGCCATCGCTGTCCGCCACGCACGTGTCCAAGGTGTAAACCTTCTTGGGCCACGGTGGCTCGAACTTGTCCTCAAACGTCACCAAATTCGAGCAACCGCTCAGGTTTGGGATGACCACGTCCTTGTAGTGACTGTTCATAAACTCCAAGAAGGGTTGCTTTGCGATGCCCAAGGGAATGAGTTTGTAGTCGCTTTCGTCTCCTGAGGTGCTTCGATAGGCCACGGCCTCAACCTAAAAGTCATTTATATAAAAAGCAAAAAAGATCAAATTTATCTGATTTTAAAGTTACAAGCATGGACAAAACTAGGACTTATAGTAAAGCGGTTATTTTTTATTTTTCTCCTATAAATATTTCTTTCACAATTTTTTTCTTTTAACGAATTATTACTTACCATGGTTGTATCATCGACGTCATAATTAAAATCAATAGTGGCCGAAACGCCGAAATCGTTCCGACCAACTCGGTCGACTTTTGCGGTCATTTTTAGCTTGCTCTCATCCGAGGAATACGGATCAATCTTCAACGGTTCGTAGTCCCATTTCCTCTGTTGGTACAATCAGTATTGTTCTACTTATATCTAGATAGAAATATTTTTGTTACCTTTCCACTGCAGTTGTCAACAAGCAGAATTAATAACCATAGTCCTCCGATAATAGGCAGCAACGAACGTGAAAACATCTTGATATCGAATGTTTCTGTTGTCAAAGCTGATGCTGTGTTGTTTTTATAGGAAATTTTAAAATTGTTCTTTAAATGTTTATGTAAACAGCTTGTTGTCTCTTAATCAGATTATAAAATATCGTGTCAGGGATAGCATGAACACGCGATACTCATGTCATATTTTGTACATTGTTATATAGGTTAATTGTGGATCAGAGTCCCTCGTGCTCTTTAATATATTCCTTTAATATACACTTTTTTTATCAATTAGTAATAAATCGTTGGTATAGAATACAAATAAATTACAAGAACGTCAGTTTCCCAGGCCCAAAGAAAGGTTTAAAGCCCAAGGGATTACAATTATGTTAAAACCGAGCCCTCAATGGGTCGATAGCTCTTGATTTCCTTGACAATAATCGGGGAAACTCAAATAGCAGAAGCTGACACCGAGTAATTCCCTATTTTGTGCCTAACTCATTAGATGCGAGGTTCACAAAGGAAAACACTCGTAATTGAGGACAGCAAATTGCTGGTGACACGAACAAAAGATCTGTTGGGGGAATGAAGTCATAAATTCCGGAACCCTATCAATGGACGGAAAAGGGGCGCAGGAAAACACACACAAACACATTCAAACACAGAGACAAAGAGTGTTTTTCCAGTGATCAATATATTGGAAAAGCAATTGAATGTGTCTACTACCCCGGGAACAAGATCTCCGATCCGATCCCTTCCCCTCCAACTTTAAGTAGTTCCCATCCAAGGCTCGTTTTCAGACCGTTGCCTAAGTGGCACGATCGCCACTTGAGTTGGCCGGCACTCGAGAGCAGCCTCTCGTCTGCGGTGGTGCTAGTAGTTGATGGTGCTGTGGTGTGGCATGCCACAAGAAAAAAAAAAGAGAAGGGAACCCGCGCTGCACTTAATTTAATTGAACGCCGAGTCGAGCCGCCGCCTCGAGCGTGTTGAGCCTAAACAGCCGCCGCCAACGCAATCGCATGATTTGTGCTCGGGGAAAATCAAATTATCGCGATTCGAGCCGAATCAAAACAGAAACAAGATCCAAGAATTATTAGCGAAACGCAATTTCTGTCTGTATTTTTTGTATATTTTTTGCTTTAACAACGGCGGGCAAAGCATTAGTGCAGCTTAAAAAATACTAAATGTATAGCCAGGAAATAATTTTTTGCTTTGCCATTTTTTTTTGTTCCGAAAGATAAGGAAAGGATTAATGTTTCAGGGCAAGATAAAATCAACCTTGGACATATCCCTCAATACGAATTTTGATTAATTGGTTTGATAAGGGTTTTTAAATGACTTACACAATCATTTACTAAATACGGAAAGTCTGATTCATTTATTATTTTTTGGCTTTAAAAGATCCATTAAAAGTTCTTTAAGTCTCATTTCAAATTAAGATGTCCCAACTCTCACATATCTTTCCTATATTCCCATAAAATAAACTATTTAAACAATCAGAGAAGCAATACTATTCTTTTGACCGCAATTGTATCTGCGTGTGTGTCTGATGCGGGCCTTTACTGGTTCTCCCCGCCTGGTTTCTTTCGTTGGCTGCTGTGGTTACGATCCATTCTGGATCAAAAACGCTAATAAAAGCGCACTGGCAACTCCCCGGAGGCGTTCATTTAGCAACCGCAGAGGATCAATCTTGTACAACAACCATCTTGTGAAACAACAAAAACCAAGATGATGGCGATGACGACGTCGGCGATGAAGCCAAGCGATCCCAAACGATCTGAACGGCGGCCAATGTTTCCAACGATGTTGCCGTAAATCTTCAGCTCTGTGGCCCCTTGTTCTTCATCGGTTTCCTCGGCTTCTTCATCATCTTGGCGATTTCGTGTTGGCCCGCTGATTTTCAGTCTACCAGCGTTGACATGTTCTAGCTTTTTTGTAAAACTAGAGTTATTGGCAAACAAATATGTTTTTTTGGATTTTATCTGATGATTTTCTCTGTATTGTTGCGCTAAAACATTTCTTTGGATCTCAGGAACTTAAGATCACATTTCTCATCTATTGAAAAAAGTCAATTTCTTATATCCAATAATTATTTTGATTATCCAAAGATAGCTTTGTCTCTTGAGAATATGTCATGGCATGTGTTTATATCATTCATAAAATTGTGTGGATCATCATATAGTTATATTCCATATATTCTGTATCTTCTCCTTTTTTTACTTTTTTTTTTTTTAACTAGCTATCTTTTTTATGGTAAACATTTAGAAGTCACCTCTGTCTGCTGGTTTCTGGTTGGCTTGGCTTGGGTTGGGTTGGGTTGGTTACTGCCTGATGTTTAGTACGTGCGGACAGGGACTTTGGCCATAACAAGAAGAGACTGTCAATTCCCCTCCGCCATTCTGCTATCTTTTCCTTTCCCGTGCATCGAGGAGGGGACTCTACATCGAGCTTGGCCGCAAACCCAATTTAAAACACGACTTGAACGATGACCGGCGCTGTCTTTGTGCTCTTACCCTGCCAGTTTCTACCTGGCCAACTGGCTGCCTCCTGCCTCTTGCCTCTTGCCTCTTTTGTGCCCCTGTGCCTTCCGCAAAACCTGGGACCTCGGTCGAATTCGGTGGAATGTCGATCGCACCAAGGAGCGAAGTAGCGGGGGCTATTAGTAATTTATTGATTTGTCTAAATTATGGTGTGTTTCAATCTTCGTGTTTGTTGGCGGCGTCTGTGAAAAGCATCGGCAATGGATGTGTTTTCTTTTGTTGTTGTTGTTTTTCCCCGTTCGTTTCTTTTGGGGCTTAACCCCTTGTTGGCACGTTAATGCCACATGCCACACTCGCATTGCCACCCACAATGGCCAAGAGAGAGAGAGTGTGTGGAGTGCGTAATAGCGGATTAAATGGTGTCCGAGTGAAGGGGCTCAGTGGCGAATAAAAGATGATTGCCATGGGAACTGAAACGCTCTTCTCTGGGCTTAAAAACTCGCATTTGGATGAGATTAAATGCGGCAGTAAAATATGCAGTGTGTGTGGGCAGCTTTTATTGTCGAACCAAGCACAGTCAACAACTCAATTAATTAAGTTTCAGTATTCAGCATTCAGTATTCAGTATGAAAATGCGAACATAACTCGGGTGACACAAACAAACAAAACACAAGCTGGCAAAAAAAAATCCATCGTCGGCCCACACACAAAAAGCGTGTTTTGCTGTCTGTGGCACTTAATTATCATAAAATGTTAAGCACATGCAAATTTAATTGTTGTTGCTGCTTTAAAATCGTACGAGGCGGAAAAAAAAATGAATGAATCAACAGAGATTCATGCAAACCAATCAATCAAATTAATTGACAAAGGCGGGCATAAAACCGCAGACTAAAGGGGAAAAATAGTTACATATTATTCAAGATTTTCCTGGTCGGGCAATATTACTAAATAGCATTACATTCATATCTTTATTATTCCTGATTAATATTTTATGCCACTATATATTCACTCCACTACATATTCACTGCCACTATATTTTCACGGAACAAAAGTTCTCTAGAGTTCTTGGGTAGTGTACCATTTGGTTTACCTGTTTTCCCCCCGTTAAAGTCATTATTAACTTATTTGGCCCACAAAAACATAAAGCTAAGCCTAATAGCCGACAACTGTGCTTGACATTTGTTCAGGCATTAATGTTAATTTGCATTGAAATAAAAAAAGTGCTAAGTAGTTAGCTGACAACGATGACGTCAACGTTTTCGGGTTGGCAAAGACGTGTACAAACTCTCGTAGAATTCCCAGAGACGTCGGCGCTGACGTTATCTAATCAGAAATCGGAACAAACGGCAACGGCTACTGTGCCAGCACACATGTTTAAATCATATACTCCATATTCGGTGGCACTTGAGATCGGTGGGAGTAGAAGTACTACTCGTATAGTATACCAGAAGGCCCGCCAGTTTCGTTATCAGTATCAGTAAATTGTGCAAAAGTGCTTTAATTACCAGGTCGTTAAGGGGTCTGCCTCCCCGCCACCTCACCCCAATCCACAGCCATCAATATATATTATGATCCAAGCAGCCGGTGCATGTAAATCACAGTCGCTCGGGCTTTATAGTTAACCTCAAACACGTTGATTGGCGATCGCCGATAAGGGGCAATTGAATTGAGCACTTGAAAGATCGACAAGGCTCTAATCTCGCCGCGCACTCGATCGAGTGGGGCAGTACTACTTTTCATTATATCTGGCCACTTGCATATACATACTATACATACTAATCGATGAAATGTTCTTTTCTTTTTTTGTATTTGCAGTTTTGAAAATGAACCATTTGGCCCGAGGGCCGAGGCCCTGTGTCTCCCTGCGTTGTTGCCTGGCCAACAAGTCGACCATTCGTCACACGAGGCAGCGCCCCAGTTCATCGCCACCCACCAGCAGTGTCATCTGCATCCTCCTCGCCAGCAACCGGAGCACCTGTCCCATCCGCTCGAGCAACTCCTCCGCCGGCTGCACGTTCCTAGGCACTACTGGTAGTACTTTGGGCCGCCCGCGCAGTGCGGCCGCCCGATCGTTTGCGTCTGCATGGAGTCAATGAGACGTAACGAGGCGAACACTAGCCACCACCCGAATAAGGTTAGTATCATAACTAGAGCTCGGATAGTTATGCACAAAAAAAGGCCAAAATATGCATGCAAATATGCACGAAAAATAGCAAAACATGCTCAAGAATATGCATTCAAAAATACAATAAAATATGAAAGAATCATGCAAAAAATAGTCATAATATGTTGGAAAAGGCGGTTCTTTATTTAAAAGCTAAAGTTTTGCACAGATTTACATTGAACTTCGACAAATTTGGTGTGGTTTTGGTTCAAGATCCGATTTTAACGATTGGCTTCCCTGATCGGCATTTTCCTTCCTTCTATCCTTGGCAGCTTTGTGTTTTAATGATGCAATATGCTGATTTTCTTGGAATATTTTTTTTCCTTGAACTGCACATTCACAATACGTACAAAATAAAACTGACCGAAATACTTTAGGAAACTTGACTTTCATACGCAATATACATAAATTTGATTTGAAACAACCGATAACTTTGAATGCCACAAGACGAATGATAATTTCAGAATATAATAAAGCGTTTATTATGATTAGTCATTGGGAATCCATTAATAAGTTATCAATGTACCTAGTGTTGATGCTCGAACATGCACTTTCGAACAAAATATGCTCTAAGGAATGAAATATGCACAATATGCATGCAACATGCATTTGCATGACTATCCGAGCTCTAATCATAACCCCTGCTTCTTGAACAAAAACCCACTCCATTACTCATCAGGGCTCGCTAAGCGGAAGTTTTAAAAGATAATTAACTTAAAAACAAGATCACTTGATGAACCTCATTTTTAAATTTACATTTACATGCTATGAAGTTATGTTATAACTTTTTATTTTAATTCTTGAAATATTATAATGAAATACAAGTTCAGAAACTTATACTTGCTTGGAAACAGAAATTACAATTTTTTGTTCTCGATAATGGATGTATAGTAAATTGCGAAACCAAGACATGATTGTATGTCCTGTAGCACCCACTTCAATAAAACTTTATGGCATTTAAAACTCGAGAAAAAAAATAAGCGTCATTCTAAATTTTAATTTATTTTTTTTATATTTATTATACAGCAATATAAAGAGAGATTATTTTTTATTGACAATAATAAAACCATGGGGTAGCGTTTGCTAAAATTTGCGAGATATTTTTAGCTTCTTAGGTTTGATCGTTGGCAACACTATTTATCCTCACTAACTGCACTCCACTTGCCCCCTCTCAACCAACAACTTTGCTTTTAGTGCGCGATAAGAGCGTAATTATTTTATTGTCATCATTTTGGCCCACTTGAGTGCCGGTTTTTTTCGGACTGCCTTCTTAAGTGGCCACTACACTTTTGCAGTGCGCGATAAGCGAAAGGGGCGATAAGAAACTGACCGGGGAAAGAAACTTTTTACTCGATTTGTTATTAGTTTATTGGGACAGGAGCCTACTGATTTATTAGTTAAAAAGGTGGAAAAACATCAATCAAGATCAACGAGCAATTAAAGTTGTAGTTACTCATGGCCATTCACTTTTTCCAACACTGTACGCGTTTTGTTTATTTGCCATCCGCATTTCCCAACACTTCGTGCGTTGTGTTTGTGTGTGTGTCGTTTTCGGTGGTTGCTCTCCGGCTGTTTCTTCTTTTTTTTTTTTTTGTTGGTTTTCCGTTCTCATCTGCCAAACGAAAAAGGACGCCGCGGAGAAGAGAAGGCTCGCGCAAAATAATCGGGAAGAATACGCTTATTTATTTATTGTTTTCGTTTTTTTGTTTTCAATAACTTAATCGTTTAAATACAAGTAAAAAACTATCCGTTAGTTATGATTATGGAATGGAAAAGAAGTTGGCAAAGGTAAAAAAAAAGTGACTTAATTAATTACAATTTCTATTTGAGTTTTGGAGTTTTCTTGCCCTACTCCTCGCACATACACTCACGAACGCACTCACACTTACAGAGCTGGAAATTATTTGTTGGATTTCTTTTTTCTGCATTCGCAGGTGGCCCTGAATAGCAGCAACGTAGCAACGGAAAGCAATATTAAGAATAATAAATTGTTAGCTAATTTAAGTGCGGCAGGAGCAGCTACAGCTACAACGGCAACAACAGGAACAGCAGCAACAACAACAACGACGGCGACAACGGCGAATCAAGCGCTGAATTTCAATAACAAAACGAAGGCAACAACAACTGCGGCAGCATCGGCGAATAATCAGAAGAGCAACCACAACAACAACAACTCCAGTGCGATCAAGAAGCACACGAACACGAGTAAGTAACTGCAAATCTTTCGTTGTCCCTCTTTTTGTAACCAGTGGCTGAGGAGGGAATATATTTTAAAATGCTCTTCATCACTCACATCATAAAATAATATTTTGAATAATTGCGTGATTTCCTGGCATAAAAACATTTTGGATATGCAAAAACATGTAAAAATCTATTATTAAACTTCTGTAAAAAAAAACTTTAAATACATTCATATATACATATGTATGTGTGAGTCCATTTAATATAACTTTAAATAGTTTGTACATATGTATTATAAAAAATAAGAGACAAAAAAATAAATTTGAAGGCGAAATTCCAGTTTGGAATTACACCTTCAAAATCGAACTCCCTTTATACGCCACTGACCCTACAACACTGACGCGATAACTTGGTCCTAATCCCTCTTATCTTCTTTTTTTTCCTCCCCAGAACTAGCTGGCAAGAGTCCCGCTTGCAACTCCTCCTCCTCGTCGCTTTCCTCGTCAAGCAGCTCCAACTCGAGCGAGTCCAAGGATACGAATTTCGAGTACGAGGACGAGTGGAACATTGGCGGCATACCAGAGCTGCTGGACGACTTGGACGCGGACATCGAGAAGTCGGCGGCGCATTCTTCGGGTGGTGGCAACCAGGCTACCGCGATAAATGCCAAGCAGGCAAACAGTAACTCCACATCCTCCTCATCATCCTCAAAGAGCGGCGCTTCATCCTCAGCAGCAGCAGCAGCGGCGGGATCGTCATCGTCGCACAAATCGCACAAGACCACATTGCACAGCAATTTATCGGCCACCTCGCCAACCACAATTAAGTTCACACGTCAGCCGGTGGCCAGTGGTGGAGCTAACTCCTCCTCCTCCTCGTCAACAGCTGCGACGCCCAGTAGTGGCAGTGCGAACGTGGTGGCCAAGGGATCATCCTCTTCCTCGTCCTCCACATCCTCCTCTTCCTCGGGGAAGCACCATCACCATCACCACCATCACTCAAACTCGAGCGGCGGCGGCAGCAGCAGCAGTAGTAGTTCCAAGGGCTACAAGTCCGCTTTGGTGGCTCAACTGAACAGTCCGAGTCCACTGAACAGTAGCTCCAAATCCCTGAGTGGATCGGGGAGTGGAAACGGGAACGCAAACGGAGCAGCGGGAGCTGGGGCCGGCAGCACATTGTCATCGTCGACATTTGCCGGTTTCTCAAAGGGCGGCAGCTTAGTGTCCTCATCGGCAGGAGGAGCAGCAGCGGCAACAGCGGCTGTCAGTGGACAGCAGGGCTCCAAATTCTCCGCTGGCGGCATGTCCTCGCAAACGGGCAGCGGCAGCGGCGGCAACAACAACACAAGCAACAACAACAACAGCGGCAGCGGGAGCGGAAGCAGCGGCTCGGGCAGCAGCAGCAGCAGCGGGACAGGGAACAGCGGAAGCGGTAGCGGGAGCAACAACAACACAAACGCCGGTGGGCCGCCGAGTTCGCAAGGCGGCAACAGCGGAAGCGGTAGCGGTAACAGCTCCAGCTCCTCCAGTGGCAAATCGAGCGCAAAGATGTCCATAGACCACCAGGCGACGCTCGACAAAGGACTCAAAATGAAGATCAAGCGCACCAAGCCGGGCACCAAGAGCTCGGAGGCCAAGCACGAGATTGTGAAGGCCACCGACCAGCAACAGAACGGCGCCCTCGGCGGCGGATCAAATAACTCCGCGAACGAGGACGGCAGTTCCGGCTCCGGATCCAGTTCCACCAATGCGTCATCCCTGGGCGGCAACAATTCATCGAGCAGCGCCAGCAGCGGCAGTTCCTCCAGTAGCGGCAGTTCGTCGGGCAGCAGCAAAAAGCACCTGAACAACGCCAGTTCCGGCAGTGGCTCCTCCTCGTCTGGCGGAGGTGGTCAGAACAATGCCGGTGGTCATGCCAGCGGAGGGGGATCCTCCGGCGGCAGTCAGTCCACGCCGCAGGGCACCAAGCGCGGCAGTTCCGGGCATCGACGCGAGAAGACCAAGGACAAGAACGCACATTCCAATCGCATGTCCGTGGACAAGTCAGCGGCGGCGGCATCGGCGGCCGGCGAGAAGGACACCCCGGAGAAGTGCTCGGGATCGGGAGCTGGCGGTTCGCCTTGCGCGTGCAACGGAGAGGTGGGAGCTCCCTGCTCCCACCACGCCTGCATCCGGCGAGCCGCACACATGTCCAATTCCGGCGGTGGCTCAAACTCAAGTGGCGGCGCTGGACAAACCGGTGGCTCCTCCTCCATGTCGGCTGTGCCACCGGGCGTATTCACTCCCTCGGCGGGCTCACCATCGGCTGGATCACCATCGACGGTCCCCGCTGCAGCTTCCCTACTGGCGGCCAGCGGGCAAACCACCTCCTCCGCCTCCCAAATGGCCAACAGTAACGCTGGGGGCGTCGGCGGATCGGGAGGAGGTGCCAATGCACCGGGACCTCCGGGCAAAGACTCGTCCGGTAGCATCAAAATCTCCTCGCACATTGCCGCTCAACTGGCAGCGGCCGCCGCCTCGAACAGCTACAGCGGGAGTGGCGCCAACTCGAATCAGGGCCAGAACAGCGCATCCGGCGGCAACGGCGGAGCGGAGAGCAAGGCAGCGGCTGCGGCCCAGGCCAAGCTGATGGCGCCCGGCATGATCTCAGCCACCATGCACCATACGATCTCGGTGCCGGCGGGCAGCGCAGGAACCGGCGACGAGGACACCAAGTCGCCGCCCGCCAAGAGGGCCAAGCACGAGGCCGGAGCAAGTGGAGCTGGCGGCGGCAAGGAGATGGTGGACATCTGCATCGGCACCTCGGTGGGCACCATCACCGAACCGGACTGCCTGGGCCCCTGCGAACCGGGCACCTCTGTCACCCTCGAGGGGATCGTGTGGCACGAGACCGAGGGCGGCGTTCTCGTGGTCAACGTGACGTGGCGGGGCAAGACCTACGTGGGCACCCTGCTCGACTGCACCCGACACGATTGGGCTCCTCCAAGGTGAGTTGGTGTGGCTGGTTATTAAATTAATCTAACGGTGATATGCTTTTCAAACTGTTTCCAAAATTATTGTAGAGATTAGATAAATAAATAAAGATGCCTTTCAATATTATGTTGCAAGTTGATTTTTTTTATTTCGATTTATCTTTTCTACCCATTTCTTTGGGATCAGTTTGAAAAATATAGTTAATGGATTAAAATGCCATAAAATAACTACTGAACTTAAATGGTTATTAACTAGTTTTTTTTGGCATTGCATTTATTTGTTTTTTATGTATTTGCACACAGCTGTTAAAGCTTTTTTTACTAAACTATAATTAGTGCACAAAACCAAAGCAATAATTTGCTGTTTGTTTACAAAAAGGATTATTTATCAGTGAGGTGCTTGCCAATTTTTTTTCCCACGTTTGTGGTTTGTTTTGATTAAAAGCATTGTATATCTGTGGGGACTTTTTTTTTTTAACAGTTATAGTTTTAAGAGTGCTGACTACATTTTTGTTTTTCTGTCTTCCAGATTCTGTGATTCACCAACTGAAGAATTAGATTCTCGAACTCCAAAGGGACGCGGCAAGCGCGGACGCAGTGCAGGTCTCACGCCCGACCTGAGCAACTTCACCGAGACCAGAAGTTCGGTGAGTAAAACTAAATTGATTTTCTAGAGCAAAAAACCATAAAATGTCTAGTAATAAATTTTGTAAAACGAACGTTGAGAGGTTTTTAATTTATTTATCGCTTTCCTTGCAGATTTACTTCTCACACGCCCAGGTGCATTCAAAGCTGCGCAATGGTGCTACCAAGGGACGCGGGGCGACGCGCAGTGCCTCTGGCAACGCGGCGGCAAACAGCAACAGCAGCTCGTCGGGCAATGGGGGCGGGGCCACGCCCAGCACCTCGCCGACAGCGTTCTTGCCACCGCGTCCGGAGAAACGCAAGTCGAAGGACGAGGCGCCCTCGCCACTCAATGGCGATGCGGCGGATGGCGGTGCAACTGGTGGGGGCATCGGTGGAGCCGGTGGAGTGAGCATGGTGAACGCCAGCGGCATCCCCATCTCGGCCAGCGGCGGTGGCCTGGCCACGCAGCCGCAGAGCCTGCTCAACCCGGTCACCGGCCTCAATGTGCAGATCAGCACCAAGAAATGTAAGACTGCCTCGCCCTGCGCGATCTCCCCAGTGCTGCTCGAGTGTCCCGAGCAGGACTGCAGCAAGAAGTACAAGCACGCCAACGGACTGCGCTACCATCAGTCGCATGCCCACGGAGCGGGCGGCGGTGCCAGTTCCATGGACGAGGACTCGATGCAGGCACCCGAGGAGCCGGCCACGCCGCCCTCGCCGGGCGTGCCATTACCAGGAGCAGGAGCCTCTGCAGGATCAGCAGCAGCGGCACCAGCGCCATCGGCAGGACAGGGAACCGTGGCAGTGCCTCCGAACACGCCCACCGCCAATTCCAGCAACCCCGTCACCAATGGCAATGCTACACCCACGACTCCAGCTGTTGGACCGGCATCTATTGCTGCCCCCAGCACCCCATCCTCGGTGACAGAGGCGACATCTGCGACGGCCATTCCTGCACCTCCATCGGGCACTCCGCCAGCAACGAATCCCATCTGTGCGGTGGCAACACCGGGGTCTGAGCAATCTGCAGCACCGGTAATGCCGCTGGCAAGTCTTCCACTGACAGCAGGTCCGAATGCGGCGACACAGCAGCAACAGCCACCCACACAGCAGCAGTTGCTGGCCCCCGGAAACAGTGCGCCAAGCAACCAACAACAGCAGCAGCAGCAACAGCAACCCGTGGCCGGAGGCAGCATCACTGCTGGCATCTCTGGACAGGCCTTGTCGCAGCACCAGCAACAGCTAATGGGTGGACTGCCGGCCATGTTGTCGGACCAACAGCAGCAGGCTTTGATGCAGCAGGGAGCACGTAAGTACCAAAGATCAATGGGACATTTTATTTATACCACCTATATTCACATCCTCATTTTTTCACTCTTTAGTAAAAGCGGGAGTCCTGCGCTTTGGACCACCGGATGGCAATCCGCTGCAGCAACAGCAGCCAGGTCAGACTCCCATCAATCCGCAGACACAGCAGTCGCCTCCAAGGCCGCCGAGTCATGTCCAGGATTCGCCATCATCGTACGCCCAGCAGGCGGGTTTAAAGACCTCGCCTGGTTTTGGATCCGTGGGCGTAAGTTCTGCTGGCAGCAAGCAGAAGAAGAACCGCAAGTCACCCGGACCCGGTGACTTTGAGGGACGTGTTTCGCGCGAGGATGTGCAGAGTCCGGCCTACAGTGATATCTCCGATGACTCCACACCGGTGGCCGAGCAGGAGCTGCTCGACAAGTCGGTCGGTGGCCAGGCGTCGGCTGCCAAGCACATCGAGCTGATGGGCAAGAAGCCACCGGAGGTGGGCGTTGGTGTGCCACCAGCCCCGGCACCCAACATGTATGTGCCGGGGATGTACCAGTTCTACCCGGCCCAGCAGCAGGCACCTCCTCCGCAGCAGCAGCAGCAACCACAGCCGCAGTACTTGGTGCAGACGGAGCCAGGAAAGCCACCGGGTCTGCCGCCTGCCCTGACCCAATCCCAACAGCAGCAGCAGATGCAGCCAGGTGCTCCTCCGCCTACCTCACAGCCCCCGAGTCATTTGCTCGGTCCACCTGGACAGCAGTCGGTGGCCGCCCACTTGGCGGATTACAGTGGCAAGAACAAGGATCCACCGCTGGATCTGATGACCAAACCGCAGCCACAGCCAGGACAGCAGCCGCCGCAACAGCAACAGCCGGGCCAGCAGCCGGGGCCGGAGAACAATGGCAAGGAGGTGGTCGGACCGCCCACCTCGCAACCGGGATCTCAGCCGCCGCCGGTGAACCTCAGTGCAGTGGCTGGACCGCCGCCAGGAGCACTGCCACCCGGTCTGGGTGGTCTCTCAGCGCTGGGAGCAGCCGGTCTAGGTGGACCTGGGCCGGGCAAAGGAATGCCACACTTCTATCCCTTCAAGTAAGTTTCATTTTAAGCGCAACTGCAAATTCATTTCCTAATAAATGTAATTCCTTCCTTCTAGCTTTATTCCGCCTGCATATCCGTACAATGTGGACCCCAACTTTGGCCCCGTTTCTATTGTGGCGTCGGAGGAAGCTGCCAAGCTAGGCGGACATCCGGGTTTGCCGCCTAGCTCTCAAGCGCAACAGCTGTCGGGCATTAGTATCAAGGAGGAGCGCCTCAAGGAGAGCCCCAGTCCTCACGACCAGCCCAAGCACATGCCACCACAGCAGCAGGTGAGTCTACAGCTTAAATCCTTTTTATTGCCCAAGCTAATTTGGAAATATTCATTGCAGATGCTCGCCAACAAGCTGATTAAGCAGGAGCCGATGACCAAGCAGGAGATCAAGCAGGAACCGAACTCCAACCCAGGCCAGCAGCATCCGCCTCCGCAACAGCCACCGGCGCCGCAGCCCCAACAGCAGCAGGCACCGCCTCCGCAGCCACAACAGCCGCATGCCCTGCATCCCAAGGATCTGCAGGCACTGGGCGCCTATCCTGCCATCTACCAGCGCCACTCCATGAGTCTGGCCGCAGTGCAGCAGCAGGCGCGCGACGAAGAGCTGAGAAGGTAATTGATAATTCTATAGTAACTATTGAGAAATATAGTAAAGGGCATAAGGATTTATTGAACCTAAACAAAATCGCGTTTATTAGTGTAAAAAAGATTCGAAGTTTGCTTATTGTTACTTACTATGTGATACTTTCTAAAATGATGACAGTTTCCAGAATCACACTTTAAATTCCATTTTCTTAACCGTTTACCTATCATCAATTAACCTTTTAATTCAGCTCATTTAACTTGAAGAACGATTTATTAATTATCCTGCCCACTTCCTGCTACTTTAATCTTGCGAACGATTTACTAACAAGATTATCTTCCTCTGCTCAGGTACTACATGTTCACGGGGCGACAGAACCAGGCGGCTGCAGCTGCTGCAGCGGCAGCTCAAAACGCAGCCAGCGGAGGCCTGCCGCCCCATCCCGGCATGATGCACAAGGATGAGCCCGGCATTGGAACGGCGCAGCAACAGCAGCAGCAGCAACAACAGCAGCAGATCCAAATGGCCCAGCAACAGCAGCAGGCTATCCAGCAGCATCATCAGCACCTGCAGCAACAACATCAGCAACAGCAGCAGCAGCAGCAACAACACCAACAGCAGCAACAACAACAGCAGCAGCAACAACAGCAAAAGCTGAAACAGTCGCAGGCGGCAAGTGCGGCGGCGAACAACAAGGCCACCAACCTGACGAAGGATTCGCCGAAACAGAAGAGCAGCGATGACGATCAGCCGCTAAAGGTGAAGCAGGAGGGCCAGAAGCCGACCATGGAGACGCAGGGTCCGCCACCACCACCCACGTCACAGTACTTCCTCCACCCTTCGTACATTTCCCCGACGCCCTTCGGATTCGATCCCAATCATCCGATGTACCGCAACGTGTTGATGTCTGCCGCCGGACCGTACAACACGGCACCGTATCACCTGCCCATCCCGCGCTACCACGCACCCGAAGATCTCTCGCGCAACACGGGCACCAAGGCCCTGGACGCACTGCACCATGCGGCCAGCCAGTACTACACCACCCACAAGATCCACGAGCTCAGCGAACGGGCATTGAAGTCGCCCACCAGCGGCAGCGGCCCCGTCAAGGTGAGCGTCAGCAGTCCCAGCATCGGGCCGCCCCAACAGGGCGGACCCACGAGCAGCGGCCCCGGATCCGGACCTGTTTCCGGTGTCCTCGGCCCCGGCAGCGGTCCCAACCAGCAGCCCGGCTCGGCACCTGGGTCTGCGGGCGGTGTGCCGCTGAATCTACAGCCACCACCCGGAGGAATGGGCCCGGCGCCCGGCAGCAAGCCGGATCTCTCCGGCCCGAAAGGACATGGCGGTGTTCCGCCCGGCTCGTCGTTAGACGGCCACAAGCAGTCGATGCCCGGCGGTCCGCCGCCGAATGGGCCACCGGGCAATGGAGCCGTCGGCGGTGTGGGAGGCGCTGCGGGCAATGGCGCGGCGGGAGGAGGCGGTGCAGGTGCCGCCGACTCGCGCAGTCCACCGCCACAGCGTCATGTGCACACCCACCACCACACGCACGTCGGCCTCGGCTATCCCATGTATCCGGCACCCTACGGAGGTGAGTAAAAGATTTCATTTCAAACCGGAGTATTAAATACTAATATGTGTCAATGTTCTAATCTTTAGCGGCTGTTTTGGCTAGCCAGCAGGCGGCTGCTGTAGCTGTGATAAACCCGTTTCCGCCGGGTCCGTCGAAATGAGATCAACTGAACGGTAGCAACGAGAAGAAGGCGTATAACGTGAAGAACAACTAGTGCGGAGGAGCGGAACGCGATGGTGCCCCTCCAGCCTGCATTTGCTAATTTCCGAGATCCCCAGGGACTGAGCGGTGGCTTTGGAAGACGGTGAAGGCGAAGGCTTTGTTTCCCATCGGATTCCAACCTCTTCCCGTCGAAGCCTGTGGCAGTCATGCAGTCGCTGCCTCGAAGAGTCCCTTTGATGCTGATGCATCGGCGGTCGAGGAATCGAGAGAGGAGCACAGATTCGACTATTTATATGAATAAGTATTTTTTGATGTTTCGTTCAACGTGGTTAACTATAACTAGCATAAGGTATCACTACTATTACCACATACAACCTATACATATATAAATATATATAGCATAACTACATATAGCGACTTTTTCCTAAGTGTATTTGCATCTGCATATAGATATCTATATATTTATATTTATATCATACGAGAGAGGCGTAAACCGAACATGAACAAACAACAAACAAAAGCGATAACATGAAACATACAAAAACTAAATTAAACAAACCCAATGCTGTAGTGTGTTGATTTCTTTGTAAAAATAAACATTAAACGAAAAAGAAACGAAATTAAGAAATACAAATGTATGGATATTGTTTACCTAATTGATTCTAAATGATTAAATTATGAAAGTAGGACGTACAAGTTTAGCATTTAGTGTGTGTATTAATTATCCTTATCTGTGTTGCGGATGGAGCTGCGCGGGATTTGCATCTAAAAGACAAATGGGGCGCGCCGCCCATTCAATTCTTATAAATATATATATATATATTATGTGTATCTAAATCTATATCTATGTGTGTACTACTCGTATCCGTAGTTTCTATGTTATAAGTTCTCCGTGAATGACTACGATGAATTTTTCGGCCAGCAGCCGCACACTAATTTAAATTGTTTCTAAGCATCAATTTGTACTTTAAATATTTATACGCATATGCATACATATATGATATGATACGGAGGGCGAGATATATGTGTAATTAAATGATTATCTATGTGAATGTGGGTGTGTAGTAGTTCACTAGCCGCTTCATAAACTCTACACGCGTGATTTATGGCACTTAATGTTCTTTAGTCTAAGCCCCCCAAAAACAATTACAAATCCTGTGCCCCAAACTCCGAAATCCTTTCCCCAAATCACACATCAATTCTTTAGAATTTATAAATAAAACAAGTATTGATTGTAAATATACCTTAAAGCAAGTCTTTTGTATTGTAAATTAGTTCCACTGATTGATTTGGTGGCCCTGCTTGCTGCATTGCCACCAAGATCGTGTTATAAACATAAATGCATCATATTGTAATGTAATATGCGTTTGCAGCAATTGCAATTGTAGCAATCCATAAACGAAACGAAAGCGCGTTACCGCATAATAGCAATTTGAATTATGTCTTCATGTGTAGATCAGCGAGTGTTTTCCTTACACCCATTTAGAGTCGCTAGGTTTTTTGACATTCTCAATGCAATTTGTAATCAAATCATAGAAAGCATTCGATTCACGGATACAAACACACAACATAACAATTAAATGGGGTTTAACAAATTACCATCATGGCTTATATAATGGTACAAGCAGAGTTTTATACAAAATATGTATTTTAGAGAAGGTAAAAGCGCATTGAATTGAATTCGAAACAATGAAATTGTATCTAAGCAAAGAATGTAATCCACAAAACGGCTAACTAAAGCTAAATCAAGCATACAAATATGGACGAATATGAACAAAACACATAACTAGCGGCTAAGAAATTTCAACAAAATATAGTACACATATTTAAAGTATACAGAAAATTATAAAAACAAAAACAGCTTTAGATGTGAATAAAAAATATGTAATTAAATCAAATAGATGTCTTTAATTGATCATGTTTTTGGGTAAATTTTGTTGCTCAAACCATTAATAATAGATTTATATTTTCGATTGGGATTAAGTCTTTTTTAATATCATAAGTTAGTTATTTCTAGGGAATATGCTTATGCACTGCCGAGAGGAATGATAAAGCTCATATAGTCTGCTGTGGCGCCCCAAGCTGTGCGATTCGTCTGGAATATTACTATCCAAGCCGTGAGTACTATAAGCCAGAATAGAGTTCCCACCGCGGAGTATATAACAACTAGAGGAGGTTGAATAAAAAAATATTATTTAAAATGGTTATATGTGGAAATATGCTTCAGCTTACATCTCTTTATCTGACTTTGTTCTGGATACGGGGGTTTATGGAAAGCCTCCTGGAAAAACCAGCAAACGTTAATGGCCCACACAAATGGCAGAAAGGCGAAGCCAGCTAAATTTTATAGAAATAAGGCAACATTAGACAAGATTCCATAAACAGCATTTAATATTTACTCCTACCAAAGAAATATTTACGACAAAGCTGGAGTTTCCGTGGATTGGGTGCTTTTGAGATATCCATGATTAATCTTTTCTGAAGTGTGTGGGTGCTCTTTAGTTTTCTATTCTGACACTATCCCAAGGAACTTTTTTTACTGCAACCTAAATATTTAACGGATAAGCTGCATCTGTACATGAATATCCTTGCAACTATCCAAAAACCTATGTTTAATACTTGTTTTTGGGCTTTGTTGATTTTTGTTGTATGTTTTTTTTAATGTATGTTATCGATTGACTCACTTTCGCCCTTTATCGAAATAGGGATGAACTTAACTGTGACTTTGCAATCACTGTCTGTTCAGCATGAAATTAAATAATAAAAGATTTCAACAAAAAATTTCGCTAATACTTATATTTAACTAAAGTCGTAAATTATTCGATAATTTTTATTTTAAACTGTGCTTGGGAAAGCGCATATATATATGTAAATAAATATATATTTATTGCTAGAGTTCCAAAATTCGGATTACAATTTTTAATTCCAAAAATATGATTTTCTACTATTTTTCTTACTTTGCTTTAGAAATTTTTTAACTTAAAATTTTTTTTAAAAAAATATGACTTGTCATTTTTAAATCAGTGTTGTAGAACGACAGTAGCTATCGATAGTTGGCCGCTTCACTGCACTATTTCAACGCACACCGCGTAAAAGCGACGCCGATTTCAATTTCAACGAATTACGAAAAGTGTGTGAAAAACCAGGTAACAATGGCCGACTTGGACGACCTGGATTCCCTGTCCAACGCAGAAATCCGTGCGAAGATGCTGGCCCAGGGACTGCCCAATATCCCAGTAACCGACAGCAGCCGGAAGGTTTTGGTGAAGCGTCTGCGCGCCTCCCTTGGCGGCCAGGCGTCGCCGGCAGCCAGTCCCAAAAAGAGCAATCGCCGGGAGACCCTGGCTCCAGCTCCCTCTGCTCCGGCTGCTGCTTCTACACCGGTGGACAAGCTCGACGGAAACAAGGTGGCTCCAGCCACCAAAGCTCGGCGTACCATTGCCGCCACGGAGGCCAAAGAAGCCGAACGTCGTCGCCCCGAAGAGCCAGTAGCTGCCAGGAAACCCACTGTTGCTGCTGCTGCTCCTGCTCCTGCTCCAATACAGACACGACGCACTTCCACTTCGACTAGCGCCGAACAACGTGTCGTAGAGCCCGTGAAGAAACGTGCACCAGTGATCATTGAGGAGGAGCCACAGAGGGGGTTAAAGGTCGACTCACTGATCGTCCTGGAGTCAGACGATGAAGAGGACGAGGAGCTGGCCCAGGCTGCGAATCTCGTGGAGCAGCAGCACGCGGCCAGGGAGAGGTTATCCAAGCTTACAAGCAGCGGTATCACCAATTACGAGTACAAAAGCCAGACCGTGGCGCCTCCCCGCCGTCCGGTCTATGAACCCCCAGTGGTTCCTGCTCCAGCTCCAGCTCCCTTGGGCCCATCGGCCAGATCGCAAGTCACCAGTTCAGTCAGACCGCAAGTCACCAGTTCGGCCAGGTCCTACGACTACTTGAGCAACCCAGCCGGAGGGCGCTACAGCAGCTATGTGCGCACTGCCACCCAGGGTTATGTGACTGCAGAGGCTCCGTCGGTTTCAGCGCCCTCCTACACGTCCAACTATCAGCGCACCTATGCCAACGAGCTGAGCGACGACAACGAGGCCGAGGACGCTCAGTACGAGAGCACCTTTGCCCAGCAACTGGCGCGTTTGCGGGCTGAAAAGATTGGGGATCGCAGCAGCCCCTACAGCAGACGCACTCTGGCCAGTGGCTCGTCGTCGGGAACCGGAACCCTGGGCTTTGAGCCGCGTGCCAGACGCTCCTTGCGTTCGGATGACAACAGCGTGTCCGAGGCCTTTAACCGCTGGTGGAACAGCCTGGAGCAGAAGTACCACATTAAGTCGAAGTTGTTCATTCTATTTGTCGTCCTGTTGTTAATCGGCGTCTATTGCATTTTCTACTGACCTGCGCACACGTACTCATTTTTCGAATCTGTAACCTAGTTTGTATTACATGTTGGATTTGTTTTGTAAACAGGCCCGCCGCTGCGGACTTTGTATGAATCTTGTTTCGATATTGTAACTTGAGCTTGAGATTGACTAGCCTTTAAGCTGCGTGTTATCCGTGTTCCAATAAAGCCCACTTGCAGGGAATCGCCACAGATGACCAGTTGTTCAGATGTTTTCTCTCGAAACGGCATTCGATGCACTCCACTTGCGGCAGGTGTTTGCCCAGATCGGATCAAGCGACAGCAGCAACGAACGACGATCGGCTAATGATGGAAAAGCATCTGGAATGCGTGTACAACACTTGTCGGCATGACTGTGACCAAATGAAGGCGCAATGACAACCAGCTACCCCCTCCTGCCAACTAGACAATTCCTGCTGCGATCAGAAATCCTGGCCTCGCAGTCAGAATTAATAAGAATTTTACAACTGAAGCGGTGAATGTGCGTTATTTTTAAATCCTAGCCGAGTTGGGCTGTTTAATTTTATTAACTGGAAATCGCACTTGCGCGTATTTCTTCATTTTCTTAAGGAAATTTCGCGCCATATTTAGCGGCAACAAGCGCGACCGGATCCGGGGCAGCTCTGCCTTGCATGCCTGCAATAAGTTATGAAAATTGCAACGGCTGCGACTGCGGCAGCGGCTGCGACGGCAACATTTGCTCAGGGGAAATGCCAGTGGGGCTGGGATGTTGCAGCATCGCCCGGCATTCGCCGCCGATGATGAATTCCACAAATGCATGGAACAGCCAGGCGGCAGATTCCTTGAAAAACAAAGCCATGGCCCATACAATATATCGTGTGGCTAATAAATACGCCGCGCATTGCTAGTTGCTCTTAATGAAATTAACTTCCAGGAATTACCTACATGGCAGCAACGATGCAGACGACAACCAACATCCGACCACTCCGACGACTCCGGAGAGCAACAAAGAAACTGCAACAGCCGCAGTCGATGCAATTCCAAGCCAAAGGGCAACAATGGCCGCTTAGGCAAATGCAACAAGCCATCGGCCATGGAAATTAAATGGAAGCCTGCAAAAAGTTTCACGCACTCGACACGTTAATAGAGTCGTAGCACCCAGAGCCACATCCGACCCCGCAGCAACTTCAGGGCCGAGCAGCAACAACATCCAAGCCCCGCAGCAACACCGAAACCCCGCAGCAACATCAGCGGCCAAGAGCAACACCCGCGACCAACAGCTTCCCATCTTCAGTTGCAGCTGAAGTGTGACATTCATGGAAAACGCCAAGTGGAATATGATTTTATGGCCAAAACCGAAACTTTTGTCTACATCACGTTCTCGGCCAGAATGCGAACGAGGAGTGGTGTGGACGCTAGAAATCAGGCGAAGTTGGGGTATTGGTTGCTGGCTTGGCTGGCTGTGCTGGGCCAATGACTTCCTCGTTTGTGAGCCAATTAAAGACGCTGGTCGTTGTGGTCGCTGCTGAAATCATTTGTAATGCAACGTTTGGAATAATTCACGCGCAAATTGCTTGCGACTCGCGAAAAATATTGCAACATTCCACTGCAAATTTTACGATTATGCGTTTGCACCACAACAGCCGCGACTGCTTTTGCTGTTGCTGCTGGTTGTTCGTTGTTGGTTGCTGGTTGCCGGTCACAAGCTGCTAGTTGCTGGTTGCTGGTTGCTATTGCCATTGCTGCTGGCGCAGCAACACGAGCGCGGTCAAGCTGCAACACATTCGCTCGTAGGCGCGCTCACATCACATCAAATCAAATCAAATGTAAGCGTTGAGCCCGGCATTCGTTGTCAGTTGCCGGTGCTCCAGATAGATAAATCAGTCGGCTAATTGTTGCAACCTGACCGGTCTCCAAATGCAGCGCCTGGGAGCGTGAACTCTGTTCGACAGGATACACAATTCCCCAATGCTGTTGCTTTCCCATCGGAATTCGAATTTCTTGAATTTAAATTCCTAATCGAATTACGTTTTTCTCCACATAATTAATCGTAAGGGATGACATTTTTATGCAAAGACCCAAAGATCAAAGTTGAACATGGAAACATCGCATCTGTGGAGATCGGACGTTTTAATTCCGTAAATAATGACAGTTTGTCTCTAAACAGACAGTCAGTGTCTGCCCACTCTATAAGGCCTAAAAGAAATCATTTATTTATTTATATTTTAGTACCCAGTAAGTGGGATGTGACGGGGAATGCTGGAACTTGACTTCAACTTTAAGCAAAGGGTAACTAGAACTGATATTTGGTATGATATTTATTTAGATATTTGGAGACAAGCGGGATATAGATTTAAGATCAAGAGGATAAGAACAAATATTTATGTTTAGATGTATTGAAAAGTTGTATCTAAATTTTATACTTTATCGTTTTTAAAATCCTAATAATCCTACTCTTTGATTTAGGCACTTAATGTTAAATAATTTTAATCATGCTTAATTGAACTCTTTAGGGTATGAAGCACAACCAAGTATACCTAATAATCCAATGTTAATGATTGATCCAAGCGACCATAAGGTATCCAATATTTCGAACTATCCAAAACATAACTCCTGAGTGGCTGTATGGCTCTGACCATCTCTTTCGCGCCGGCAGTTTCTTTTGGGCCGACTACTCGTTGTCAAGTTGTGGACCACAGCGACCAATCAGTGTCAGCTGGAAGTGTCTTTTTTAGTGGCCCAAAGTGATGAGCTAATCAACCTGACCCGACCGACCAGTCCCACAGTTACGGCCAGATCGGTGGTTCGGTGGATCGGCGGATCGGTGGATCGGTGGTGGTGGTGCGCCTATGTTAATAACATTATTTATGTATCTTGTATTTCGGTTTATTCTCGTGTGTTTTGTGTATTGTTTTGTTTTGTTGACTTAACAGGAATTGGAATTAGAAATGAAGCGAAACAAAGCGGGCAACGACGAGTTGGGTTTCCCTCCATTTTGTTTGTGTTTTAGGTGTCAATCGCATTAGACGGAAATCAGTTTTGTTTTTTATTGTACGAATTTATCGCGTTCGGAGACTCATTTCGATTTGGTTTCTATTTCTAGTCAAGAGTCTCTCTTTCTCTCTCTGCATGCTGGTGGTTGGGTTTTATGTTAAATTAAACATTTTAAATTGGCCACGAGATAATTTGTGGTACATATATGCGATATGGGTGCGTGTGGTCTCCGCGATCCGAGCGGGCATCAAATAAATTATAAACCCATTTAAATTAAACTGAATAGCTGGCTGCCTCGCGTTCGTTGGCCGAGTCTTTTGTTTGGCTTTTCGATTCGAAGGAACTACTGGCCCAGCTGCAGACTCAGAACTGGTTGACCATAACAATAAAATCAGCAACACTCGCGACATTCCCCGCCACCAAATATGGAATTTATAATTAATTTTTATGTCCATGGGATGCAATTAGGACGGGAGCTGCAAAACAGGAGGAGCTGTGTGGGATTGGCGGGGACTTCGGAGGGGGACAAGATGCAAATGAAATCAAGTCATGCCTATAATCGGATTTGTAGCTCCTCGTATATTAACTTGTCACAGCTTCTATGTGTTGAGCATAAACACAATTTGTGCTTAATCCAAGACCAAGAAACCGGGACTCCGGCTTTCCTGTCGCTATCAATTATGACATTTTGTTGCTGTTTTGTCACTTCTGCCACTGCCGATGACGTTGGCTCACATTTCGCTGACCACAGTCTGGCGATGGTGATGGTGATTGGGATGTGCAGCAGTGCCCCTCTGATTCATCCTCCATTTCGACTGCAATCAATCATCGTTCCGCTCAAATGTTCTGCGGTTGTGCGCTCCATGTGCGATTGCCCACTGAGCACCATTTAGCCCGACTATCCCGCACCACTGAGCCACCCAACCGCCGAACCAGCGAACCACCTCGTATCTAGATGTTGCGACAGGCGCCCACAATTCGGGGCCAGCTGCGTTTGAGTTCGGCAGTTTATTTTTTTTGGTTGGGGTGGGGCTGCAGAGCTGTGTGCTATGAGCTGCACGATCCCGATTCGGCGCAAATTAGGCGCGAAAATATGCAGCAAAGTGAGACAAACAAGCCGAGAGCCGCTAAAAGCCTCGCAAAACGGCAAAACTAAAGGAAAAATACGAGAGAAAAAAAACTTGCCGCTGGTCAGTTAATGGTGTTAAAATTTGGTACAGCGATTGCATCTATGGCTATACAAATTGCCACAGCGACAGCACTCGAGCAACATGGCAGTAGCAGCAGCAGCAACATGAGCAACAGCAACACCAACAGCAAGAGCAACAGCAACATCAACAGCAACAGCAAGAGCAACTGAGGGTAAAACCGAGGAGTCGTTTTGTCAACACGGAGCATGCTTAGCCGCGATTTCCCAGGGGGACACTTAACGCGGCTGCTTAACGTCTAAATCTGTCGTCAAGGCGCGCTCAAAAGGCTAAAATGTGTTTGCCGAAGACGCGAGATGCCAGCGGACGGACTGGGGGCAGCATCAACAGCTCTGAGCTCCGCGCTTCGAGCTTCGAGCTCCGATCTTCGAGCTCCAGCTCTAAGTCCCAGCTCCATCTCCAACTCCAACTCCATCTCCATCTCCGGCAAGTGGCCGGCGACGAGGCAGCAATTTGTATGCAACTTTATGTTTGCCCACTCGCACCCAGCCTGGTTGGTGCCCAACTTAACCCACGGAGGAGAGTCCCCTCCCCTCGTCTCGCCCCGCCTTGTGGACCTGACCAGCTCCTCCTGCCCCAAGGGTATTCGCACTGAGAAATAATTTAATGTAACACAACATGCCTAATGACACTTTCTATAGGAACATTTAATACATTGTATTTACATTGTTTATCCAGTTGTGAGCTTTTCATCTCCTGCAAAAAGATCGTTTTGGAATTCTGCCTTTTAGATCTGTGTAACAATAACTATTAATATTACAATTATTATTTTGTATATTTTTATGTGCAATTAGGTACATATAATACAATTTACTGAAATATTTAAAAAATTTACTTGATAAATCTATTATAACAGGGCTTAAAATTATTATTTACATTTTGAGATAAAATAAATATAATTTTAATATTAATATATTAATTTTAATATGAAATCTAAACTAAACGTTATTTTGTTTTACTTTCTTTATCTTACTTTAACCCATTTTTATTGAATTTATTATATGAATTGTATTTATTATATTTAGGTTTTA